TTGTTGGCGTGGTCGCAAGCACAGGGATCCTGAGGCTGGCTTCGATTTGTCAGGGGTTCCTTTTGGGTTAGGACGTTACGTGACAGCCCTCGCCTCTTCATGTTCAAGGTTCAGCCCGAAGCCCTCTTGGAAGCCCAGCGACGACCCTTCCTGTAAGCGGCCCATCAAGAAAGCCCTGCGACATCCGCAAACCCCTCTGTTCCCTTTACAGGCTTAGTTAGCCCTTTCTTCGTGCCAAGCTTTCTCCACAACACCTTGATGCGTCCCGAAGGCGCCACAGCTGGTGCCGCGGCTGTGGCAAGCCTGGGCCCTGGTGTTTCTGGTACTTCTCCGACTCATCTCGGCCTGTTCGGGTTTAGAGGTGGTGGCCCACATGTCTTGTCGTGGAGCTTGACGACATCTCAAAGTTTCGGGAAGCCTAAATGTAGCATGGGTGCAGACGTATGCTGTGAGCCCACGTCATGCATCAACTTGGTGTCTACCTCCAGGAATGATGAGAGGCTGTGCTGATGTAGGATTCCTGGGCTGTAGACTCTTGAGGCTGCCCGCCAGAACCACCAGGATGAGGCCGAGAGCTTGGCCTAAGAAGTTGTAAGTACGGCATTTTGCAGTTATAGAGCTGTGTCTCTTTCCGTGTGTGTGTGTGTGTGTGCGTGCCAACCGCGCTGCTGCGGTCATGCCAGGGTGTGTTTGTGACAGCTTGAGCGGAAAGATGGAGGTTACCCTAATTAGAGGCTTCGGGGCAGCGTTGCTGCTTGCAGCATGTTGCAGCATGGAGTATGTTGGGGCTCGGCTCTCCAGGCTTTAGGTGGAAGGTTTTGAGGTCATTATGGGCCCCAGGATGCTGCAATCGAGCTCGACGCCGCGCCATCGGGAACGGTGGCGGCTGAGCCTGCCCAGGCTTGGGCGGCTTGGGCAACAGCTTTCTAACCCATGTTCGTCTCGAGGTCCCGCGGGTGCGGGCTCAAATTTGACGGGTCTGTTTCCCCCTTGCAAAATCTTAAGGGCTTTAAGGAGTTCCGAGATTTTGCAGGTGCCTTTGATTTCTTCAAAATCCTGAGACCAATTTAAGTTCGGGAGAGTTTCGCTATGCCATGAACCTCCCGTAATTCTTATTGCTTCAGCGTTTTCGGCTGTGCTATTTTCGGCATTGGAGGTGTAGGATGTTTCATTCGGAGCCCCTCTTCGAAGTTTTCAGAGTGTTATTTTCTCAAGCAGGTGCAGCAAGACCAGGTGATGAAAGAGCTGCAGTGTGCGCTCGAGGCAGGATAGGTGGTGGCAATGCGTAGTGTGCATAGTGTGTGTGTGTGTGCACGCGGCACTGTTCGCCACATGACGTTTAATGTCTCTCTGTCTCTCTCTCTCTCTCTCTCTCTCTCTCTCTCTCTCTGTCTCTCTTTTTTGTACACAATGCAGGGGGTGCTAACTGACCGTTACCGGCTCCAACGAAGTGCGCTGTCAGGAGGGAAGTGTTTCGGGACACTGGGGTGTGTTAACGGCAGCTTGGGGGCACACTGGCTATTCTTTGTGTCCAGACAATTTTCAACCGAGGACAGGGCCCAATCCTCATGATATCACGCAGGGGTTCAGATTGCAGATGCCAGATACCGGACCTCAAGCAGATGCAGCCAGATGCAGATAGCAACATCGGCGAAGTTGGCCCTCGTGGCGTCTCAGTATGTTGCGTGGGTTGCGTCAGGCGCATTCCCTCAATTTTTTGTGTCTTGAGCCCTTTATGGGGTTTCCCCTGAAGAGGACAAAGTGCCCATGCCGCTATGTTCACGTTTGTTTTGTGGCATGCGGGCGGTTTCATGGCGGGGATTCATTCTCTCCTTTCGTGTCCGTGGTGGTTCGTTTCGGTTCTCGAGTTTCGTTTTCAGCAGCTGTCTCTGTTGGTGTCTTGTGTTTGCGCGGGTGTGGGCGTGGGTGGGTCTGCGTCCGTCTGGGCGTGCGTGTGCATGTGCGTGTGCGTCCTTGTTGTCTTCGACCCAGTGCCCGACGCTGCGTTTTCAACCTTCTGCTCAGCCTGGTGTACTTTTCTCTTTATCTTCTCTGGCACGCAACAACCCATCCGCACTTGTCAGCCACTTTTCTCCACCTAGAGAGACTTTAAATGCATTAAGTTGTGCACGTCACATATGCTGTCATAAGAAAAGTTCGTGTACATGAATGTGTACATGAGTATACGGATAAGGGCCTTGAGTGTTGCAACAGTAACGCCACCCAAAGATCCCACAGAGCACGCGAGGCAAAGGAGAACTCCATCCAGCAGCTTCAGGCGTTTGGAGGGTCCTTTGTGCAGGTTTCGGGTTTGGAGTTTGGGATACACAAGCCCTCGTGCCGCTTCACCCAGTGTTCAAGTGGAGATCTGAGGGGTGCTCCGAAAACTTAGTCGAGATCCCTGAAACCACCCAAGACCTGACAAGTCCCTGAGCCCTGAACCCCAAACCCTGAGGCCTCCGCTGCAAGCGGAACCGCTAAGACCAAGACCTGCATAGTTCTTTTTTTTCCGAAACCTAAGCGCCAGAAATGATTTGGGTTCGCCTTGTCACCCCGAGAAGCGTGCGATAAGCATGTGCATTGGCACTTCCCAAGGCTTGCCGTGGCCTTTACCGCTTGCGGCTTTGGGTTTGTAGGGGGGCTATAGGGCTGCTAGGGCCTTGTCTGGGGACCTCAAACTGAATTCCCTGGGAGAACAACAGTTCTGGGAGAACTAAAGCCATTCTTTTCAATCTGTTGTAGACCACTGCTTTCGATGTCGAATTTTTTGTGCGGACCCGAACCCGGACAACTCAGTAGATGTGCCATGCAGAGGCCCCGTGTAGTGCCGCATGCTTCCATCAGGCGGAGGTGGCGACGCTCAGTGGAAGAGTACGAACACTCCAAAAGGCGCCGCGTGCGTGGTGAGCTACTAGGTTTACTACAATGTGCGGCAGCTTCCAGTCGCTCTACGCAGGTATGCAAGATGCGCCTGGACGAGATGTTTGAAGTCATCATGGAGGCCGGTCAACTCCGCTCGGGGCAGGGCTTAAATTTAGGAGTGTCCTGGCGGGTGTTTTCGAGGCGTTCAGGAAGTGGCCAACTTGGTAGCTTTCGCAGGATGGGAAACCTAAGTTTGTCTTGAGTTTTTGTTATGTTTTCGTGGGGTTTTCTTGGGGTTTTCTTGGGTTTAGGTTGGTTTTGGCTGGGCATATCGTGGCTCAGCCCCCAATACGCAGCGTTACTCCCTGAGAGTTGAGCCCAACCCTCAACCCTGCACCCAAAAAGGGCTGTCATCACGGTGGGGAATCGAGTCGAAAACCATATATACAATGACAAAGTCGGGCACTGCACAGACGTTGTTTCGAACACAGATTCCCGAAAGTCTGCCAATGGCATGAGCACACCCCAACCACCCTATCGGTTCTGAACCTTCTCCGTTGTAGGAGATCTTCTGCTCTTCCGGTGAGAAGGTAGTGCGACGTTTTGCTCGACGGTCTTGGCTATTGACAGGACCCGGCCATACCGACCAAGTCGCCCGTCCTGCCCTTATGATTGCTTGAGTGGACTGCCCTGGCTCCAGTCGCCTGAAGATGTCGCTTGTGGGCCACAGCCAGAAGCAGAAATCATGTGTCTCTGCCTTCGCTTCCTAAGGATGTGGATGCCGGGCACGCATCCCCATCATTGCCCAGAGGGCTGTTGGCCTGGCAGCAGCGGCAAAGAGCCACTCGAGTTGCCCGACGCAAGAAGCGGGTGTTCGCTTTATTTTAGAGCATGGATCATGAAGGCCAGCTGTATCCACACTTGTTGTGTATTGGTGTCTCCGGCTTGGGGCCTTCTAAGGAGATAACATTGGTAAATTCTTGGCAACCTTGGTATATTTTTCGGCTCTTTGCATCTACCCTAGACGCCCTAAAAACCCTGAAAGCGAACCTAAACACATCTAAACACCCAAAAGCACTCCAAAAGCCTCAATGCCCGAAAAACAGAACAAAAGCACCATCACGACTACCTACTTCGAGTTTTTTAATTTTAAATTCTTAGTAAATTGTCTGCGGGATTTTTTTGGTTGGGGGTGTGGGGGTGGGCATCAGCGGATCGGCCCAGGAGACCGGACGAGGAGTAATTACACGAGGGCCGGGCGAGGAGAAGAGCTGACTTAATATCTAGCAACCCCACACCGAGGATGGGGAAAGGACCCTGAAACGCCCCAAAGAACCCTAAAACTTTTTGTTGCTTGAGGCTGCTTTGTCGGCTTCGGCGTCCGTGGGCTTCTCGCTTGACTGAGACTCCGGCGTGCCGGGACTGCTGCAGGTGTTGAGGAGAGGAAAGACCCAAAGCCCACTCTGAGCCTTCAGCTCCACGCCACCCCTGCCATGGCCAAACTATTGGCGCCTGAAAATGGGTAAGATTTTTTGTATTTTCATGAACCAGCGTCATTAGCAATTTGCCATCGCCGTCATTCACACACGAGTATGGCCAATAGTGTCGACTCCAATATTGGAGGGGCTTTTCGCACGTTGTTCATTCCGATGGAGCTGCAAAAGACTTGATTTGGTGGTGCCCGTCGATCAGCATTGGTGATGCGAAACCCTTCAACAACAAGAGGTTCTCACTCGGAATCAGACAAGTTTTTGGCGGTAGACACTGGGTCATCGGTGCTTACAAGGACCCTTAGTTTGGAAGCCTTTGTGTACCGTTGATACGCCCCGAAAATACCCTATGCGACCCAAGGCCCCATAGATCAGAACCCTTCAAGGAAAGCAAAGGACCGTATGAAGGGACGATGGAACCACCGGAACCACCCTTAGATTGGTAATTTTCTGGGACCTAATGCACATGCACTTGCCATGAGCGACGTCGGCGCTGATGTTAAGAAGCGGTCCCAATCACGAGATGCCGTCCAGGACCGTTCCTGTTTTCAATGGATAATGTGCACAACTTAGATGAGCTAGCAGCATGTTTTGGTCTTGTGCGGTGAATGTCAGGACGGCCTCAGCTGGAAAGATATCGCATGGTTAATGTTGCTGATTCGCACATTCGTTCGTGCATTCTGTGGACGTGCACGGGCAATACTCTCACTTTTTAGGTGGCCGAATGTGCATGTTGCCAGGTTATCTGATATCGTGGGCACGTCAGTCTTGACTTTGAATGGCGTTGCTGTTCGGGCCCTGGTTGTCTGGAGGAAACCTGATGGAACCCCAGAAAGATAGCAGGTATACAGTAGCCATATGATATACGGACCGTTTTGCCTATATTCCGTTTATGTACTTACTCTATTGCCTGTGGGTTTTGGAGATCATGCTTGACCATATTTGTGTGGGGCTGGTTTGCAATGGACACTCACGCACGGTAGTATCTCATTCCAAGCAGGACTGTTGATAGTCACCTATCGCCTGTTGTGTGCACACTGCAGGCCAAACTGGGATGGGTATTGACGATTACCTTCATTGGTGGGCTTTTTCCAGTTGCACTTTACTCGTCCTTGCTGATGAGCAGGACTTTTGACGTGCCCATGCTTGTTGATTTGTCCCTGGCTACATGTCATTACGTGTGCAAAGGTTGCATTCACCCTGGATGCTTTATCTTGCCAGGACACGCGGGATATTGAGCCGAATGCTTGGTGCTGACAAGACGGTTGGTCTGGGCACCATGGGGGAGGCGTCGCTCACATGCCAACAGCTAGAATCGGCTGTGGTATGTAAAAGCATGGTGGATCCTGCGAATCCTGCGTTGCATGCGTCTTTGATGCGGAAAGCTGAAACCACCATCTCGAGCCAAACAATCTTGTAGTGTTCGCAGATAGCGGCATGCGTTTTTGATTCTGGACGCGCTGGTCGGATAGCATCTTGGCAGGATTAGAAAGGTCATTTCATGTTTCCATGTTGATGCAGTGTCTGATGCCGTGTTTTGTCGAAGCTAGGCTTGGTGCCCCTTTTTCAGGTAATTGTCATTGTTTACGGCTACACGGCATTGGGCCAAGCCTCTTACATGTGGCTTCGATGAATATGAACATTTGGCAAGCTGAGCCATTGCTCCAAGTGTTCCATGAAGTTGATGATTCTCTGTTGCAGCCGTGTTATGACTGCAATGCAAGGCTAGTGATGGGACGAGCGCTTCAGCAACTGGGTTGTATGTAGTGCTGTGTGTGCGGAGGCCTGTGTGATGTGTGCAGTGTAGATTGTCACGGAGGATGACACTCTACGACAAGCCACTCTGTCTCCCCATTGCGGTCCTTTTAACCATCGTGGCCCTGTTGGTGCCAATCTATGGAGTTCGGAAGCAACCGGGCTGAACTTAGTGACTTAGTGCGAGCATGAGAGCTTTTGGAGGATCAGTTGTACACCGAAGTTAATTACTTGCAAAAGGCTGCTGCGTTTGTTGGATCTTTGCAGAAGCAAAGACCAGCGCTTGGATCGGCTGAGATGGGGTCAAAGCTGTGAGTGTCGTAGCGTTCGCTCAGGCTCGGAGAGTCGGCGCTTTGGCTGCGGATGTGGTCATTGTGGGTTTTTTTTTGTGGGTTTTTTTGGTGGTTTTTTTGTGGGTGTTTGTGGGGTTTTGTGGGTTTCTGGTTCATTCCATTGCTAGAGCGTGCTCCCCGAATTTGCCCTGTTCTGCGCATCCTTTCTGATTCAACAGCTGAGTATCAGCTGTGAAGAGATGGAAGAGCTTTGGCCCAAAGGTGTCGCTGGCTTTCATCAACTCTTTGCTCATCGTGGCCGTGATTGTCTTGACCTCGGGGTACATGTCCAGATTTGCGCGTGTGCGATGAGGAGCCGTGAGCCGAGGTACTTGCTTTATGGCAAGCTGGAAGCACCTCCCCGCCGTGTATCTTGGTTATGGGTTGCTGGAGATGCTCTCACGCATGGTTGCAAGACCACATGCATGTAGCCGTCCCGTCTTGCCATTTCTGGCCGTTTTTTTGCGCACGAGCCCTTTAGCAGTGTTTGGCACGTCAGCGGCACGTCAGCGGCACAGGGACCAGTCCCAAGATACATAGGGTGACAGCACGCGACTGGTCGAGTACACTCCACACCCAACAAACCCAAGACACACCTCAGAAGCGACCTCCGAGAGCGTAAGCCAGACCTCGCCATCTCAGGCAAGCACACCTTCCTTTTTGATCCAGGCTTGTAGCAACATGTTGTTTTGGCAATTGAAGCTTTGTCTCCAGTCCAGATGAAGACAACCTAAAGGCTAAAGCATGCTGAAGCAGCTTCCATCATTCCTCGTGAACGTAGGAGCGCATACGCAGACTGTACTGTGCCAGGTTTAAGTGGCATGGTAATCCTGGGCGCTGCCACAAACGTGGCCTGAAAGCAGCATGATGATCTTCCCCTCTAGGTGCTAAGCTGCTATCAGACAGTCTAACACCATTTCAACATGCTTCAGAACATTCAAAACACAGTTTCTCTCTCTGATTGAGGTGGTGTACAGCTACGCTGGGCAGTGGATGTACTTTGAACTCATGGACACCATGTCGGCTCCGGAGGAGTGGCCACCTTGACTGTGACAAGCAGAGAGAAGGTTTACACTTTATACCTGAGCCTTCTTAATTTGATTTCGACATGTTCGTTCTTGACGGGTTCCGTCGCCGTCGATGCTAGCCTTTCGCGGGTTGCTTCCCCGCAGGACTTTCCGAAGTCTTTCTGCATTGCAGGTGGCGCGGGGCCTTTATGTTCTTTATCCAAGCAGCCTGAGTGGCGGAGCCAGTGCCGGAATGAGCAAGTCATGTCAAGAAGCGAGCCCAAGCATTCTGAAGTCGTCCGCAGGGCCATTTATGCTCGCTACCTACTTGGCGGTGGTGACTTGGTGTGGTTCGAGTATCCGAGTGTCAGGGCAAGCGCGTTCATTCAGAGACTATAAGTTGAACTCAGAAGTGTCAATGTCGGGCGTGTCGATCGCAGCTTTCCAGTCTATTAGAAGACACACTGGAAAGTGCTGCTGGAGAGTTACTGCACTACACAATGGCATTTGCATGCCTTTGAGGCATGTATGGGGTATGGCTTTGGATCGGGCAGTGGTGACTTGATCGCCGGTATGCCCCATGGTCCGATGCTTCAGGCCGAGATCCGTAGTCAGTTCACCTTTGCCTTTTGCCAGGGCAGAGGCCCAAAATGGTCATCAGCAGGCTGCAGCGGCCATGCTCTTCGTCCACGTCTTGATTGTTTATTTGCTGGAGGCTCAGAGTAACATTGTTTGAGATGTCTTCTGCAGTGTTCCTGGGCGCCGAGGATCAAGAGTGTAGTGCTGGTTCACTATCTGCACGGTTGCTGGAAGCCTGAGCAGGCGCATCGTGAGAGTTTGATGAGTGCGTGTAAAAGCCTGGCAAAGCAAAGCAGTTCGAGCTGTCCAGTAGAAGCAGAGCTGTGCAACACAGATGTTTGACACAAACCGAGTTGTTCTTGGCAGGTGGATTCACGGGGACTTCGCTCCTACATGCAGCATGGAGGCAGGTGACGAGCGTGTAAGTTGCTGATTGGATTCCATTGCTTTCGAGAAGCGGTCTTCAGAATTCGAGGCTTGGGTGTTCTCCTCCTGCTCTTGGGTTTCGTTGTGCTGACACCTCAGATATCCTCGGATCATCTCAGATCCAGCGCTGCGCAGAGCTCAAGTTCACGCCACATCTCAGGTCCAATATGATACCATTCTTTTCACAGCTGCTGGGCATCATCGGAGGGCTCTTTGCAGGCAGCTTCGAACAGCCACTTAAGCGCGCAGGCAAGAACAATAGTGCGACACGTGCGCATCTGTAACCTTCGGAGTCTTTGAATAGCTGAACTAAGACCCCGGACTAATGGATTTGGTTGGGTAGAAGGAGTACTGCAATGACTTCGTGCAGGCCCGATCGGCTTCCTCTTTCCGATCACATTCTTTCTTCTGGCGAGAGGCCATCTTTGACAGACGTGTATAAGCTTTTCTGTATACACATATACAGGAAACATGTGGTCGTCAGCCCCAAGATCCGCATCTTTAGTACTCTTCCACCTGTCCCTGTGACCTTTATATGTGCTTCTGAAGCATACCGAAGACATTGTAGATAGCAAGAGTAGAAACACTGTTTGCCTCTACGTTTTCTGCACTTGTGCGTGGCAGTATGCACAACATGCTCAAACGGAATCCGTTTCAAGCCATGTCTCTGTGAAATTCAGCGAAGCGTGGCCCCAGTAACATGTCACACGCTTACGGACGCCGAAGCCCAGTTTTATCAGTTTGAATGAGCGCAATGCAGCGGCGATGCCAGATTGTCGTTTCCTGTTATTTGTCAAAATTTCGTGCTTGTGGACTACGGGTGAGGAGCTTGATATAGTCAGACCCAAGTTGAACAGGGTTAGCCCCCCAATATAGATCAGACTCATATTGCGGGAGTAAGCTGTTTCTTCAAAGGAATGGAAAAAGAAAAGAATGGTGAACCATTAAAGTAGTAGAAGTGTCGGCAGACATTTACAGAAGTACGAGACATCATATTGTGTTCACACTAGGCCCTAGGCGAGCCCAGTGGATCACAAGCTCAGGGGCTGGGATTTTATTCCAGTAACTCAATATATTTGCTGTGGACAATGTGCTTAGGATTTCATGTGGCTTACGATTTGAGTTTCTCAGACGAATTTGCATGCGCAGTGTCGTGGCCTATTATTATTAAGCTTACTCTATCTTACTCTTAACATTCGTGTATATATATATATAAACCGATGCACAGATATGAACGACTCGGGCCAAGGAATGTAGTCTGCTTTGCCAGGAAGAGAGATATTGATGGAGACGGAGGAGCATGACAATCTGCCTACGCAGCGCGAGGTAGCTTGATTCTGTCAGCATGTCATGGTATGTCACGTGTGTAACCAGCAGCAAAGATCTCCTCTGATGCGCTTTCGGCAATCTGCTAGTTGTGACCCAGGCGTCTCCGGAGGAGGTGGTTGCCATCTGTGGGAATGATGATGCGCAGGAGGAAGGCTTCCCAAACGCACGTCTTTCATACTGGATAGTGGAAAGCTGAGTCTCCTCATGCACTTAACGTTTCCCCAAAGGCTGCCGCAAAAAATGTGCTGTGAACTGACGGAGCCTGCATGTTACTGACCAAGACTGCTCCTTGGGAGAGATGTGGTCGCGAATTGAGTGTATTGAAGTGTATTGTTTTCCTGAGAGTTGCTTATGATAGGTTCTTTCCCCCGGGCATGACCCTTTCCAAGTGCGCTCGGTATCGTTTGCAGCATCAGCCACTGGATAGTATCTTGACCCGAGTGATATTGCCCCGAAAAGTGAAGACGAATATCCCCAGTGCGGGTGCAGAAGACGGACGATAGAACCTTCGGTTGAGTTGAGGATGTGCCAAGTTCGTGGCTGTGCCACTTGCGGAACAGTTTGCCTGAATTTCAACAACACAGCCGCCGCTTTCAAGACGCATTCTTGTGAGGCTTCACATGAAACACATTGGCATCTGAATTGTCTGATCTCACAACTGATTGCCGTTCCCTCTGCTTTCTCATCCGATGAAACCCGCATACTGGCAAGGGGGTTAGAGCTTCAGCTTCTTCGTCGCAGGCACCGAAACAAGCTCCTCTGCAAGCTATGAAAGCGTGCTGGGCAGCGAGCGGTGTAGGCAAGGTGGTACATTCACAATTGCCCACCAAGGGGGTCTCGCATGCAGGCTCTTGAAGATTACGTTTCTCTTGTGCCGAGTATTGTCGTCGCGATTCACATAGGGGCTTTTCTCGCTTGCACCCCTGCGCTTCAGGATTCTGATGGTCGGCTTCAACTCCCTTCCCTATTGGGAGCAGATCACCATCGTGGCGACGGCGGGGTTTGCAAGCGTGCATTTTTTAATGTGCAATGAGACCGGCAGACACTGATCAACTGCTGCCATAGCAGGTGATATTCATCGTGACCACAATGGTGTTTGGGGTTGCTGATGAGGTCCTCCAGGTACCTGCGCAGAAGCGAAGGGGGACTTGCATGTGCGCAGTCAAAGAACATTGCCAAGGTCATGGAAATGTGGGATCGGTTAGGAGCCCCATTTCAGTGCCACCACCTGGAGCCACCGCTTCTGAGCTGCAGTCCAGGCTTATCACCAGATGTATCACGCATGCCAACTGACTAGGTCTGACGTGTCTGAAATGAGCTTGGACTGCGCTGTCATTCAACTGTTCAGTGCAAGGAGCCGTCCGACGTGCCCGGGCTCAGCTGGCTAGGCCCAGGCATATTTCACACCTTGTTTCACCAGCTTCGGCTTTCGAGAATCTTCGAGATGCTCGACCCCGACCCGTAGGAAACAGCAAAACCCGGCAAAGTAGCCGTCACCCGTTTTGCAGGAGTCTTGCAGGTCTCTTCGTGCCGAAAGTTGAATTTGCAGTTTGTGCGTAGACTTGTGTGAGGCACCTCCGTCTGTGAGACGTGCTTCAGAGCGAAGCAGGTACAGCATGTTTGCTCCACGGATGGCTGAAGCTTGAGCCGGCCGTCTTGGGCCCAAGACCGTAAAAAGACTTGTAATGGGTGCGTCCGGGAGTCGGAACTCTGCAAACATGGCTTCGATTGACGAGCTCATCAGCTCTGAGGCCAAACGGTAAGGTAAGTCTTCTGAGGTCATGTGAGAAGTATTGTGAATTATCATGTGGCAGTGCTGCTGATGCTACTTTTCGCTCGGGAAGGGCCGGCCTATCGGTCCCCCCCCCCCCCCCTACAGTTCTTGAGATGGTTGGCGCGTGTCGTATGTGTCATCTTGTTTCAGGTCCTTGCTTGCATGAGAGAGATCGGGTCCAGGACATGGTGGTGTTCTCGAGCAGCAGCTGCCCATTTTGTCAGAAAGCTTTGGCGGCTCTTCGTGATGCAGGACAGCTTCGGCTGCAACTGGCTCCATGCTTCATAGAACTTCATAGAGCGACGAGTCAAGAAAGTTGCAATCTTTCATTCCTCTTTCATATTCTTTCACGCAGGCTACTCCCCGAAGGTCGTGGAAGATTTCGACCGAAGCGCCCTAGGTGCCAAATGTGGCTCCACAAGCGTCCCCAAGGCCGTTCGTGTCTGCACAAGATGTCTGATGCATACCAGCTTGCAGCAGCCCGTGTGTTGGAGACGCAGCAGTTAAATCATATTCAGTGGTTGCAGGTCTTTGTCAAGCAGAACTTCATTGGAGGACTGCATTTCTTCACAGCTTCGAACTGATCATGCCTTCCGCCAAGTGTCTGGAGCCATGACGAGTTGGAGGGCTTGGGTTGTTTGGGTTGGCTGTTTCGGGCAGTGAATGATGGCTGAAATGCTGGCTTATTTTCCAGGCGAGCATAGGCCGAGTCAGCATTTGGCACTGTATTGTATTATATTATCTCAAACCTCAGAAGGCCTTCGGCTTTAAAAATGCCGTGGCCCCTGGACAAGCCAAAAACAGGGGCCCTGATTGGCAGTTGAGTTGGCAGTCTTTCAGATGCGCCGTGCAGTTGCAGTACGCATCACCAGTGCATGCAGGCTGCAACGACGGTGGAATGGGAGGGACCTTACCCCTCCTCAAAAACGGCAAGATCAAGGAGAGCGCAGGGCGGAAGTTTGAATTCCAGAGAGCACCAGAGATCCCTGCGAGGAGCTGATGGGAAAATGATGTGCAGCTAGTACAAGGCAGTTGCATGCAGTTGCCTTCTGCTGCCGAGCAGCAAATTTTGATGGCACTTAGACCGAGGTCGTAGTGCCAATGACTGTTTTGCCGTTGTTGCAGCAGGCTCTTTTCTGAGGATTTTGGAAAGGGGAGGCTGCGCAGATGTGGACGAATATAAACTTGTGGCGGAAGCAAGGCTAAGACTGCTCTTACCCAGATAATCGGTTGCAACTGCTTTTCGGAATCTTTCACATCTTTCATTGAGTCGGTTTCGGCCGGATCGCTGGGTGGTTTTGCGAAGAAACCCCCTGACGTAGGCCAAACCTGAAGATGCATTTGAGAAGCGGGGCACGACAGCCTGTACAGTCGCTTCGCGAACAGTTCGCAGTTCAAACCGCTCGCTAGATCTACGAAATTTAGAGAAGACATGCACGCTGTGCAGAATCCCGGCCATGATTCACGAGGGCGTAGCGGTTGCAGAGGCAGTTGCACCACTTCAGCCCCGAATTCCGACACAATCTTTCGTATCTTGGCTCAGCTCAGAGAGTTTTGTGAAATCCTTTTGCGTGTGATGCCATGGAAAGCTTCCTTGGTTGGCTTGGGCTGCTGGTGCTCTTCAGGACCACCTAACCAGCCTTTGACCAGTGGGACCCTTCAGCAGCCACAGAGCAATGAGAGCAATGAGAGCGATGCACCAACTCCTCGTGGCTCTAGTGATGGACACGGCACACTGGCCCGGATTGCGATGGGCTTGCTGACAGTTTTTCAAGTGCCCACGGGTCTGTGATGTCCAGGGATCTACTTTTTCTACGTTCTGTGTTATGGTGTGCTATTGTGCCTGGTTCGATGCAGCAGTTCTTCAGGAGCACCCAGGCAGTGCGCACGTTCCTCCGTGAGCCGTGCACTTTGGAGGAGCTTCGCATGCAACATTTCATCGACAGCCTGGTTTGCATGTTCCATATAGGTTCAACAGAAGAGGTCACACACGAAATAAATTTGGGGCCATACGTGCCTTCCTAACAGTTTTCATCGTGTGGAGAAGGGACTTTGATCTAGTGGGCTTTGTCTGCAAAGGCAGGCTATGCACACACTCTTTGGTTCTCATGCCTTTCTGCTGATGCTGGGTGCATGGAGGAGCAGACGATACGCATCGAGTACAGCGAGCCAGGCTCTTTCGGCATATTCCACGATGCCTTGGGTGAGAAGTCAGGGTGAGTTGAATTGCGACTTGATGGATGGCCTCAAAGGTCTTAGACCAGGCATGTCATCACAAAGTTTTTGTGCATGGCATCGATTTGATTGTTATTGCGCAGTGCTCCCCTACACTTCCCAGTCTTCTGTTCTTTTGAGGCATGACCGCTTTGGCGAGGTTGCTGTGCTTTGCTTCATTCAGATGGTTGTGCAGATCCTGTCAGGCAGTCTGAACAAGGGAGAATTTGATTTGGTCAAGATCTCTTCGTGGAACGGACGCGTGGCAAGTGCTTGCAAAGTAGAGTTTGGCACTTCGTGTGCTTTCCTACGACAGCTGTGAGCGGTGAACAGCTTAGCAGCTAAGGACATCGCATAGTGACAAAGACGTACGGTGTCTTGACTTCAAGAATCTTAAAGAGGTATGGCTGAACGCCTCCATGCTAGAGGCCAGAGCAAACTTTTGTGCTTTCTGCGATCAATTGGCCGCCTCAGGCAATTGCAAGGTCGACTATTCCGTGACATGTGTGGGAAAGACGGTGGCGCTGGTGTTGGAAGACTCCTGTGGTTCTCGGAGTGACAGCAGGCGATCTCAAACTTTTGACCATTGCAGAACTGGTTCTAAGTGGTTCTAGGCGTTGGCAAGTCTGGAGAGCTGACAAGAGAACAGCAACTTGTCAGCTGGTAGCTCTGACTGATTCATCGTGCGTGGAACATCCTGAATCTTTCATTGCTGCCTAACTCTGAAGATTCTCTCGGTGATACATGGTCTATGGTGTGGTGAAGCGAGTTTGGGATCTATCACATGTGATCTTCCTTGGCTTGTCGTCTGATGGCTTCATGTTCTGCTTACAGATTTGCCAGAAGGTCTATATCTGAATACCGGCAAACGAAGCTGCACACCTCTTCGTGGCGTGCCTGCAAGGACATTCCCAGAATGTCTTAAACACATTGAGCGCACGTTCTCCATTAAGCGCCCAAGTCTTGTTTTGACTGGTATGCTTTGCCCGAGCTGAAAAGTTGCTCTGGGGACTAAGGTTCACAATGTCGCACTTTATGAGAGACCCTGATAAAGAGATCGAACTGCATCTTCCCATCAAGAAGCGTCTGGTGACACTTGGAGCAGCAGGATGCAGCGACTGAAGAAGACACTGTCGCAGAAACTGCAAAACAGAGGGGCACCCGAGGATGCGAAGCGATGGGTCCAGGGTCATTTTCAGGCCGGCCAGGGCAGTTGAGGGGGGCATGAATCGCATTTCTGAACCTTCCCCTGGTTTTTCCGATGCGCGCTGTCCTCGCCAGTGTGTTGCGGAATGCTCTCCCAAGTTCTGCTCTCCAATTTGTTCTCTCAAGTTCGCTGAGTGTCATGTGGCAGGCGGATCCAGCCTCTTTCGCTGGAGGACGACACGCTTACATGGGAAGGCTGTGAGTAGCATGGCCACTGCAAGGAGCAGCTCAAGAATCCGAGCCAGCTGCGGTTCTTCGCGAGCGTTCCACGCCTAGATCCTCGGCTTCATTCTCGTGGTCAGCTTATTGCAAGGTCAGTGTGTGATCTTGAAACCTCAAGAAACCAAAACATAGCTCCGGCTGTGGCTGAGCCGCACTGCATGCCGCCGATAAACCCGAACCCTCCTGTCACACCCGCCCGCAATCAGAACCGGAACCCGAACCTGCACCTCCCCTCCTTCCCAAGCTCCATCACAAGGCCTCCACTGATGCTCCGAATCCAGAAATTTGGTAAAAGACCCTATGAATTAGTGCGCGTATGTGCACGTGTTGGGTACTCTGAGGTTCGCTGTCCGGCCCCACTGGCAGACTGTGGAACGTGTGTTTTTTTTTGCTCGCCCAGCTCTTTTCCTTTGTCCTTTTGTATTCCTCGGCCAGCCGCACGCCGAACAAACAAAACAACACGCCCCAGGACGAAGGCCTACAAAGAGCCTTCTTGAGCCCTGTCTCGACGGGAACCAAAACGCGCCCGGTGTCGTTTTCTTTGCTCGGCCAGGCTCTGGCCGGGACAACGCCAACGCGCCGGTAATGTATGCACATATGTATATATGATACAATATAGTATAGCATACGTACAATAATGAAACATGCGCTCAAGAGGTGAAGTTTTCTGAAGGTTCAAGAAAAATCTGCCGTGATGTGGCCACGCGTGGCTCGTCCCCCCTGACGATCTTTAGTTCCTTCCTTCTTTCCTTCGTCGTGCTCCGTGTGCGCACCTTGTGTTTCGCCTAGTCTGCACTGCATAAATGGGCTGTCTGTTGTGCCCAAGGCCAGCTGTCTTCCAGAACCTGGCGACGACATCTTTCGCACCAGCAAGAACACAAGCAGCTTCAGTGCACAAAAGTGCTCCGCCTGCCACAACTTCCTCGAGTCGGGTTTGAAGGCTCCTGGACCTCCACTTGAGCGGCGGATTGGAACTTCCGACAAATATGAGCTTCTAAGTGAGTAGCATGGCTCCCGTGATGTCTTGAAGAGCAAACGAGCGTGTGAAATCAATTGTGGATGCAGGAGAGGCCTTTGCTTAGCACTGCGATTGCCCCGACTTTCATCAGCGTTTAGCCTGGCTGCCAGGACATGGGGCCGTGCACTGCTGCGGAGACGAGGCTTAGTACAAATTATGTTGGACTTGGTGACATGGTACTGCGCCACAACGCAAATATGAAACTCGAGTCTGCTGCTGTGCTGCACAGCTGGTCATGTTGCACTGGCTTTGATATGTAACTCCTCCCTAAACAAATTTGGACCCTCCGTAAAGAAATGCCCGCGCGGGATGGCCCTCAGGGCCTCAAGCCTTTGGAGCCTTAAGGCCTGAAGCTTTCCTAGCAAGGCCTGTGTATTAGCGGGTGATGCAAAAAATTTGTTAAACTGAGTCGGGTTGGCCCGTGGACTACCCATCTCGAGATTTGTTTGGGGCCTCGTTTCGATAAGGCTTTAGATGGAACCGGCCGTGCTTAGCTTCCTGGATTCTGCGGGCTCTAGCTCTTCAAGATTCCTGGAGCCCAGGCCCTCAGGGCCTCAAGCCTTGATGCTTAACTTAAGCCCTTCACCCTAAACAAACCCTTTAAAAACAACCATCCGGGAAAAGAACTTGTGATAATAGCGGGCGACCCCAACAAACTACTTTCGCAGAAAAAGATTTCGAAACTTGCGATTATAGACTCCTGCTTTACAAAAGCCAGTGCAACATTAGCGCCGTGAGTGACGGTGAAGCAACAGGTGCTTGGTTATTTCAGGTTCCACTCCATCCCTGCATTTGCTTGGGGACGATTTGCTTACACACCGGGTGCTGCTTCCCCCTCCCCAGTTGTCGGGACATCGTCCGCCCCCTTCCCCTCCAAAATGGTACCTGGCTATCTGCATCTCGTCCTCAGCTCTTGACGGATCTGGCTGCTACTTGAGACAAAACCAGCCTAGCAAAGTTCTGACAATTTTGGTTTGGGCACGCATCTAGTGTTCCCACACCTTTGAACGTCAGGGGTGCGCCAGGTGGTTTGCGTTCAGCATTACACACACGATTGGTCTGCAACCTTCCTTCCAGAATCAACCTCTGTATTCGAGCTGCGTGAAGACGGAGCGTTGGCAGTTTTTGTTGGAACGCATCTGTCTCTTCGATCGCAGCTCCATGACCTTGTGTACCTGCAGGGTATTGCACAAGGTCTTACAGAGAGGCAGTCGTAGAGGCTTGTACGTTTGTCTCAAAGAAGCATCATTGAGTTGAAAGCTCTCCGTCGAGATGTGGATCAACGAAAGCTGTATGTTATAGCTGTATGTTATGGGGTCAGAACTGTCTCTACTTACTGGCCCTCTAGCCATTTGATGCTTCTCCCCCCGACGCAGTCAACATGACCATACTGCAAGGCTACTCCCTTCACACGCAACTTTTGTACCATACGAGTATTTTTTTCACGTGCGTGGAACCCCCCGCGCTCAGCCTAAGGATTGCAGGCCGTGTCCGGTGCCACCAGTTTGCCGGCAAACTAAAGAAGGACTGCCCCCACAGCTTTTGCTATGCTGCTGGACACGGGTCAGTTGTTCTATCCTATTTTTACATAAACTCAACTATCCTTTTTCATTTCCGAGTGCATTTAGGGTTTAGGGTTTAGGGTTTAGGGTTTAGGGTTTAGGAGTGACTAACTATGGTTACTGTGGGGGAAGGGTTCCGAAAGTGGTCCCAAGACCACCTTTCCTCGGCTCTCTCGCTCTCTCGCTCTCTCGCTCTCTCGCTCTCTCGCTCTCTCGCTCTCTCGCTCTCTCGCTCTCTCGCTCTCTCGCTCTCTCGCTCTCTCGCCCTCTCGCTCTCTCGCCCTCTCGCCTCTCGCTCTCTCCCCTCTCGTGCTCTCGCGCTCTCGTGCTCTCGTGCTCTCGCGCTCTGTCTCTCTCTCTCTCTCTCTATCGCTCTCTGTCTCTCGCTCTCGCTCTCGATGGCAGAAGGGGAAAGCTCCCTCGGCAGTAAAAAACACCCTCGGCAGAATCGTGGCGCGAAGGGCAGAAGAGGAGAAACGACACAGCATACGAAAAAACCGTCAAATCGCGCAAAGACGGGCAGGCGCAATGACGCCGTTGTTTAGAGCGTTCGCAGATTTCGCACAGTGTGGCTGTTTCCGCCGGCTGTCGGCCTGGAATCACTGAGTTGATCGACAATTTCGACCCGCAAGCAACGCCTCGTCCGCGCAGATGCAAGTCCCACGCATTATGTTGGCTGATTTAACTGGTAATGTTGGTGTTTGAGCGTCATGTGTAGTGTGCCGACAGGAGGATGAAGGTGTTCTGGAAACTCTGAAGCACAGCATGGAGCACCGTGGGAACGTTTCTTGGATTGCTTGTTGCAAGCATGTGCAAAACGGGCTAGGATAATACACGCTTGAGAAGCAGCTGCTGCCCTTGCCCTGTTTAAGGACCTCACCATCGAGCTGGCTTGGCAATTGGGTTGCCAGGCCAGGTTCCAGACTTGAACGTGCCTAGGTTCGCTTCTGCTTGTCCCGTGTCACTCCTGACAGGATTTGGGTTGTTGTCCCTTGGATCCTGACACTGCAGAGATGCTTGCTACACAGGCGAGGTGCAGCATGAAATGAGCCTCATGCCATACTGTGCTTGTGCTCGCCACTTGCAATGCAGGCCACACATTCTCAAGCCGTGGAACAGTTCGCCGAAGCAGACAGGCCGGAGGGGCCAGTCCAACATCTGTGCATGACGGGCCTGCTGTGTGTTGCTGGGCAGGGCCAGGCGGAAGCAGGAGTTGAAGGACCTCAAGACGGAAGGGCTTGCAGCTGCTTGATTGCAAGCTTTCCAAGGCCTTGCACCATTCTAGACGATCACTAGTCACTAGTGCAGCTGGTCCAACCTTGTGTCGGCAGCTTCTGTTTCGAATATCTACCTTTGAGACTGGGCTCTTTCACGAGCGCCTGCTTAAGGAGCATGTCCTGGACGACCCGAGCAAACGACGCCAATTGGAGGTCCTCTTAAAAATGAAGGCCCGAGATCCTCCAAGCCCAAGCTCTCCATGACCCTAGCTCAAGCACTCTAAGCCCAAGTTTGGCTTCACCTTCTCCTTTACATGTGGGCTGTGCCAGGCCGGATATGCCCGAAAGCAGTTGAAGCTGGAGAGGCAGAACGAGACGCAGGAGGACGCGGCAAGCATGAGCTTCAAAGGGAAGCTTTGTGCCATGTTCTTTGCATCTGGAAGTTTGTAGAACTTCGTAGAGTAGAAGCAGCTGTTAGCAAGACGTATTTCAACGTCTGATGTGTGTTATCCAAATCTTGTTCAGATCAAATAATTCATAAAGGGCCAATTTCTTGCGTTAGGATGTATGTTTAATTAACTCAAACATGTGCAGTCACAAGCCACTCGAAGAGTGTGGCGACTGCCAGGACAGCGGTTCAAACGTTTCGTCGCCGACCGTCGACATCGTAGCTTCCCATGCCAAGGCCACAAGCAGGAAGGGTGTTCTTATCGTAATGCCGTACATGGCCACCAGCAGTTGGGCCGAAGAGCTGCTGGAACTGCAGGTGCCGGTCGAGGATGAAGATTGCCGCTGGAACTATCGAAAGAGCCGGTGCGAACCGAAGTACGCCTGCGACACTTTGCGGCACTTCAGTCTTGATCGCCCCCGGATCTCGCCGGCACTGTTTCATCTCAGTGGGTTGTCAGCTGCAGATGGGTTGGACTCTTGGACTCTCAGGTCTACAAGTTTCGTTTCGGAGACTACCAGCTTGGTCACAGCTGCCGGCTGAAAGTGGACAAGTTTCGGCCAACCAGAGCTCTGGCAAAATGCGTCCCGTAATGTCCCTCATTCGATGTGCGCTACATATTGCTATCATTGCTATAGCCCCACATTCTTGGAGATCCTGAAAGTGCAGAGGTGACGAGGACTGCCTCTGGGACTACAAGGAGGCGTGCTGCAAACTGAACGTTCAACTGACAAAGCAATGGCCTACAACAAGCAAAGACAGCTGAAACCATGCCAGACAAAGCTGTAGGTGTCGTTTTTTGAATGGGACTGGCCATTTGCAGGTCAGATGCAGAAATCCGCAGTTCTGCTCTCGTCAATGCAACATTGCGAGGGACCGGACCTTGGACATGTCCCTCGTTCTGCACTATCTGCAGTAGCTTCAAATGCTAAGTATGTGGTCAATGGTCAGTTGCATGTGGGGCATGAAGAGGTGTTGCAAGCTGCGCAAGAACAAAACCGTGGAGCCCAACTCTGAAGAGCCTGAGTGCCTCGGCTGCACAAAGACAAGCAGTTTCTCTAAGACTCTACAGAAACCCGCGCTAGTTGATGTGAGCGAGTGTGTGCTCTAGGATGGCCACGGGCACGACAACGAGCACCCCAGACATGCAGAAAGCGGTGCAAGCTTCGGGGCTAGGGTTATGCGATGTTTCGGAATGTCTCACAATGTTTTGCATGGTTTTGCTCAAGTTAGGATCCAAGTTAGGGCGAAGGTTCGCGCCGTAGCGGAGCTCACCCGTGTGTCTTTGTGTTTCTCAGCGGCTGTGTTGTAGACTCCGTGGGCATCTGAGCCTCTGCAAAGATGTAGAAAAGCCCGGTCAAAGCGAAGCGCTGACCGTGGGTAAGCAACCACCGAGGCATCCCCATCGATGGGTTCGAGGAAGACGTAGACGATGAGATAGGACCGACTCGCGATGATGCAGAATGCCTCATCCTGGCGTTTCGTTTTAGCATGCCCTGCCCCCAGCGGCAACTTTTTTGTCCTGTCACTGCGTTTCAAGACGGTCTTCCCTGGCAAGGACTACAAGCCGATCCGGAAGATGAGGGTCCTCTTTCAGGCCTGAGACAATGCAGCCCCCCAAATGGCGAAGCTTCGACGGAAGCCCGCCGACCCTGAAGCCGAAGAGCACGTAGCAATGTAGCTATGTGCAGCTTGAAATTTGGGCGCAGATGAAGACGACCGCTGGCTGAACGAAATCGTGAGAGATCTGGCAGCCGATGACGACATCGGATCTTCGCTTGCGCTTCAGAGTTTGGAGAGCAGTGGTGGTTTGCTGATTCCCGAAGCACAGGGCTTCTGCCTGTGCCGTAGTGCTCTTGATTCTCACGGCTACGCTTGGAGAAGTTTCTTTCCTTGCGCTGAGGGCTCGAAGCGGACTCTGAGCAGGTGGAACAGGAGGAAAGCCATGGTGTCCTGGCAGAAAAGATGAATCACGAAGGCTCACGTGAGCTAGCCTGGAGAGTTTAGTCTTGCTTCAGTGGAGCACCATCACATGGTGCCTGGACACAAGCAAATCAGGTTATTGTTTCAAGAGGAACCGGTGGGCGGGCGGATTGAGAGGTTCAGACGTGAATACTTCGACGCAGTGTGCCCCTCAAGTCGACGAATGTGGCACGGTGCAAGATCCAATGAGATCCAAGGTGAAAATGAGGACATCGGCCTTGGAGCTGACGAGTCTGAGACAGACGATGGCAATGCAGGGGAGAAGGCTTCGGATCAAGTCATGGTGTGTACTCCGGGTTGCCAGTGTCGGTCTGCAGGGTGGCGAAGACGAAGGCAACTGCAGATCCCAATCCGATCGAACAATCCTGAAGGGGAGTGATGTACCGGCGCAGCTGGCTGCTCGACGCAGAATGGCGCATAACTCCTGCGATTCCTGATAAGCTTGGTGCACATTGTTGCAATAATTGTTGATGCATGTTCGTGTGTTGCGGTGCAAGACAGGCCCTGGGGCCTGGGGCCGGTAGCACGCACCAAGATTCTCCGTGCAAGGAGAAGATCGGGACAGACAGCTGGAGAATCTATAGGATCGTCAGGGAGAAGTCGCTGAAGTTGCACCAGGAGAGGCTGGGCTTGTCAGAGCTTTGTCAGGGCCTGAGAAGGGGACATTGCCACAGCAGCTGGGCATGTGTGTCCTCAACGCTTCATATCGCTTCACTCCAAGTGTTGGACTTTCCTCGCCTTGAGTCGCTTGTTACATCAGAATGAGATGAGATGCTGTCTAGGACGAAGCCCTCGAGCCAAGAATGGGGAGAAATCCCAAACCCTAAGGCCCTAAACAGACATGATGGGAAGCCACGCATTCCATGGCGAGATGTTGACCAACCCAAATCTCAACAGTAGATGGGTGGGATCTTGGCTTTCGTACAGCGGTATTTGATGCGTAATTGAATGGGGTCAAGCATGCTCGAGGGATTTTTCGAGGTCAGGTTATTCCTGACCACCCTCGGTTATGTGAAGTTGTATGTTGACATATGTAGTTTACTCATGTTTTCTCCTCCCTCACTTATGTCTCCCTTGCTGCGGATTGTGGGGTGTGGGGGTCCGAGAGTTGGATGTGGTTTTGTTGAGTAGAGCTCGGATGGCGGGCGAGTGGCGCAGCTTGCCACAGGGTCGATGCGTTGTCGCATGAAGTTCTTCGAGCCCAGGTTCAACATGCTTCGTGGACGTGTCCGACTGCAGTGTGAAGAATTGCTTGTCCTTGCTCGCCAGGAAGGGCCAAGATCTCAGTCGGGGCATCTTGGGAGTCTGAGCATTGCCGTTAGATGTGCATCCCGAGGAAAAGATCACCCTGATTCTGTGGCGTGTATCGAGGCAGGAAGCATGTCGTCATGATTTATGCCGGAGCGCTACAATGCTACAAGTTTCCGCCAGGAGCACTGCACACCTGCTCTTCTTCAGTGCAGCGGCCTTCCAAAGGAAGCGCACCTTGGATGAACTCGATGGCTGCAAGCTAAAGTAGCTGTTCAACGGAACAGGTCTGTTTAGAGCCGTCGGTTTGCACTCAATGCCATTATGCCTGAGCTCCCTTGCATTGGGACATGCTTTCGCATGCCGCATGGGAGAAGCCTTTCCTGGCACGCCAGGTTGCCATAGCTCGACACGGATCACCTCACCGCCCTTTTGCATCCCCCAAGTTACAAAAAGACTGTGCCTGCCTTTGCCCTTGGCGGAGAGTGCTTCGACATTTCTGGTTGGACTCTGCTGAGCGAGAAGTCCATGTACCCTTGCGGGCTTTTGCTGAATCTGTCGGCCTCTTCAGCTTGCACCGCTGGCGATGATGAAAAGATAGCAGCACAGCTGGTGGTCAGGCAGACAAACATGTAAAGCACAGCAAGTCTGGCACAGTTTGGTTCAGCTGTGGCGCCGCAATGGGATGACTCGAGAGATGCAGGCCGAGGACTCCTAGGGACACTGCTTCAGGGATTGCACTGTCGAAGTGCCTCAAACCAGCTCAGCCAGCGTGTACGCAACTTGTGTGTGGGGGAGAGCATGATGCCACGGGGGCAGTCGCAAAAAGGGATGGAGGAAAGCCAGGTAGAGGAGGAGGCGGAGGAGGATGAGTGATTTAAGTCTTGCTCGGATAATGCAAAGTGTACCCGCGCATCCCTCGCAACATTTTACACGATTCGTCTTTGTGAGTGCCTGTAACCTACTAGGTCGTCCTCAGCGTTGTTGGAGAGTGAGTTGGCAGAGGAGTTCTTTGACGTCCCCGATGTGGTTGAGCGCGCCATTGCTGTAAGAAGAGATTTGCAGCACGTGCTTCTGCAGTGGAAAGCTCCGCGTGACAACAACCGGTGCATTACGTGTCCAGCTTGCACTTGCTGCAGAGCCGGGCTGCGCAGACATGAGTTGCGGACCCAAGCATGCTGGTGAACTGTGAGCCTTGTGAGCCCAAGGCACTACGCCGTTCGTGCTTGGCCCTGGCAGCTCGCTGTCCAAGGCATGCAGCGTAAGCCAGAAAACGCACACACACACAGTGTGCCGCACAGCTCCCCAAGTGGGATTCCATGTGGTTTCTGCCTGAGGGTACAAGATGTTTCGATCCAACCCGGCAGGAAGTACAGATGTCGACAAGGCGAAACAAGTTCAGCTGCTCGCCTCAGACCATTGCAACACAAGAATCTGCCACTTCATTGCGCTCACTTCGCACCTGCAGCTGACAGCATCTGGCTTAAGGTTTGATGTTTAACGATTCGAGGCATTCGAAGAATTGAGAGAGGCAGAGATGAAGCAGGCCGTGTCCATTGCGCATGCGAGCAACTGCAAACAACGATTGCGAAACACATGGTTCTCCACCTGCATACAGCAGCCTCAAGGAGAGCAGGCATGTTGGCATGTTGGCATTGGGACCCTCTATTCCACTTCGGGCTTAAGTCTGCTGCACCTTTATGATGCGGCTGCGTTCGATGTCGCAAAACATGCTCTGCACAGCATGTCTGCCAGCAACTCGTGCACCGTCTTCTCTTCGGAAGCACTTCTAGCAGGGGGGGTGCGAGACGTTGGCGCCAATGCATGTCACACACTCCACTCCACCACTCTCCACCTTAATGCCTTGCAGTCTCCACTGCATGCTCCGCACTTTCATTCGTTGTTGCGCGAAAGTGCAATGCACCAGAAAGCACCTGGATTCACCACTGCAATCAAACAACTTCATATTCCACTCTTCATGCTCCTGCCGCCGCCCATGTATTTTCAAGGTACACTGCTCTGCATTTACATAAACTTCTCACTGCACTGCACTACGCACTTGCACTCTTCCCCTGGAGGACCTCTTCAAGGTCTCGCGTTCATTCCAGCCTCCCACAACCCCACATCGTCACGAAACAAAATACAACATCTGCTTTCGTCGTGGTCTGTTTCTGTTGTCTTGTCTTCACTATGCGACTTTGGAACGGAAGAAGCCCTTCTGGCCGTTCCGCGGGCACATCTTGTTGATTTGAGTGCTTAGCCGCGATGGACACAGCGCGGGGATCCCTCTCAGCAAGTTCCGGCCCTGAAGCGGCGAGGGTCCATAGAATGCATGCTCGGGGGGCTGGGATCTTCCATACCCCTACTGCATCAAGACCACGTTTTGTCCATGCGAGAGTCATGGACCTCGTCCTTGCGGGACTGTCACTCTTTACAGCTTTTGACTCATGAAAGCCTATCTTGAGAGTCTCGCACTTGTCCCGACACAGCCCGAGCTTCTTGGCACGAACTCTGACTGGCATGACCCATGGTTCGCTTGAAATGCTCGTTGCTGAAGGCTGATATATCTCCACGCCCTCAGATCTCCTACAAGTAAGTGGTCAGCATGGCGCCCGTCTCGTACTCCTGTAGTAACGCGCCGACCTCGGCACCCATGGCCATGATCTCTCGTGTCTCCCCTTGCGTCACAGTCACAGTGCATCTACTGTCTACTTTGACATAGATAGACAACATCAACCTACGGCATTGCCCTCATCAAAGCACGTGAAAGAGGCTGCTGCTGTCTGTTGCATTAGCATCCTCTGAACCTGCTGACCATGCCATTTATGAACACGTCTCTGTCTGTGTCAAGTATTTGTCATGCGAAGCAAGATGGGTGAATATCGCAGCACCGCCGGTGCGAGACTCTGTTTGTATGTAGTTTCACAGCACTCGCAAATGAACCAAGTGTTTTGTCGGAGCTTTCGGCCCGCGTGGAAGGATTTGTGTTTTTCCGTTTTTGGTACTTTGATGTTGTTACGTCACAAGCATGGATTCTTCCGTAGTTCCGGGCAATGGGCCCTGATAGCATGTACTGATTTCTTGAGGGCGCCGTCTTTTGTCTCTCCCTCTCCCTCTTCCTCCCAATAGAAACGGCATGGCCCAGAGACGGTATTTCTCTCGTATGATGATCAACAGGGCCACTGTGTGAAATTCGGGAAGAAATCATCTCTTGTTGTCAATAGGTCCTCTCTCTCATATCCAGTTGACAAACATCATACCAATCAAAAGTGCCAAGGCTTACTTTTTGTACATATTTGGATGTTTTTACAAAGTCGGGCAGACGAATGCCGACCTTTGACGAGCGTCTATGCGATTAGCGCCAAGCATCTGCGAACGGGTGAGACATCTCGGTTTCGTCATGCAGTTTCATCCCCTGGTCCACATCGCTCGGCCTTACTCTTTTCCTCTCGAATTTGCAGATCTGTCGAACACATGCTTTGAGAATATGCTGGGAATGGAGTGTTCGCGGTGGCACAGGGTTAGACGAGCACTGGAAAACAGCTGTCTTGGCCTTTGCATCGAGGTGTGAATCCCTGCATATCCCTGCGGTGCGTGCTGCAGCTGCATCTAAGGTTAACCGCTGAAGACGTGGCAGCTTGTCTGCCGTTGAAGCTGTGAACGATTGTTTGGAAGGGTGCATGTGCACATACGGATGTGTCTGAGGCCTGTGGAGAGGGCGACGATGAGGATGTCAACTGCGCATACCTCCTCGAAGCCCTTCCTGGCATGTTTGGCACCCAGACTTGGTGTGAAGAACTGAAAGTATGGCACCCTGACGCAACGAAGACAAAGCGGTGGCTTCCCTGGCTTGCCTCTGCCCCTGAGGCCAGCGGCCGAAGACCGGCCGCTGTTGGATTGCCAGCGCTTGCCAAGGGCATGCTGGGTGTCGGTGCCTTCCGGCCCAAGTATTGTATTGTATTATTGTCTTGTCTTGTCTTGTGCTATATTGTATTGTATTGTATTGTATTGTATTGTATTGTATTGTATTGTATTGTATTGTATTGTATTGTATTGTATTGTATTGAGTAGCAACTACGAGCACGCAACACATTCATAATCTTTACACAACATGTATGTCTTGTTTCTGTGGATCATGGCAAGGAGCAATGCAAATCTTCACTTGTCGCAGTACTCGTACTCGGACGGGCGACAGTACGTAAAGAATGTAGTCCCAAACAGTTTTCAAATCACTAAACTTCATGCAGTCTGTAGGCTATTGGACATGTCATCTCCGAACAAGATCTTCAATGTGGCCTTGTTGTTCTTAATCATGTTTTTGCAGCTCTCCCCACCTTCTCTGCTTTTGTCAGATTCTCGTAACTGTCTTGCACCTGACCTGGATGTAGATGTATATGTATATATAAATGCATATATATATACACATGTACATAGAATCAATACACACATGTATATGTAAATAAATACATATACATATACACATATGTATGTATGTATAGTGTATAATCTTCCGAGATCTCGTTGTCAAATCTCAGGCGAGCTGCCAACGCAGAGGGATGGGCAGAGTGGTCGCAGCCAGGCCTGGTGCTCTTTCAGGAGCAGGCGCCCGACATTTTTTTTTATCCAGCTTGGGTTTGGCATGGCAGTGCCATAGCCATGGGGCCATCCAGTGGTTGCAGCAGGTATTTGGAGAAGATGCCGGTTCAGCAGAGGCAGGGATGGAGTGCGGGTAAGAAGAAGAGAGGCGAGCTATCACAAGCTTTGCTCATCTCTATGAGAGGCGGAGTCAGGCGGTACAGAGTTGTTCACATGGGTTCGCGCATCATTGCAGGTTCCTTGACGTTCCTTGCACGCTTGCGCAACTCCATCCCATGAGGCGAGTCTTGGGGCTCGACTCCTTTCTTGGGGCGCAAGTGAGGACCGAACATGGCGGTGGAGCTAGATGTTCGAGTTTAAGTTCGTTCATGTGGCGTTTCCATGTTGCCTCCGTCACAAGCTCACGAGTCCACAGCCCCCAGGATGGACGCCTTGGCAGAGGTATTGATGCCATTAGTCGCGGGGTTTGTGCTGAGGCTGACGTTGATACTTAGCTGCACCGAGTTGAAAACCATGTTTGATGCTCTGGACCCGTCCTACACGGATGCCATCCAGGTGCCTGGCTTCAACACGTGCCGCCTGACCTCGCTGGCAGCAGGACCAAGTCCAAGTAAGAGACTTCACCTGGATGTGTGGCCTTTTTCAAGTGTTTGTTGAGGCTTTACCTGCGGCTGTAGTCGTTTCGGAACATACGTGCAGTGCAGGAGCTCACACTGCTGTGGCTTGACAGCATGAATCATGGAGTTGTTTCTGTCAAAGCATCTGCGAACTCGACCATTCTACCAGCGCCGGCTGCAGTCACGAATCGATGTTGCACCTCGTCAATGTAGTCCACACCTGGGTTCAGGAAACCAGGATTCAGGAAACTAGGCCATTCCGGAAAACAGGATCAGGAAACCATGCGATTCAGGAAACTGCCCGATTCAGGAAACTGCCTTTACACGGTTCAGGAAACTGCGATTCAGGAAACTGCGATTCAGTGAACCACGCGAGTATACACGCCATTCAGGAAACCATGCGATTCAGGAAGCCACACGATCAAGCAGCCTGCTTTCAGTTTCCCGAGTCAGCCTTTTCCGTATCGGTGCTTTCCAGTTTGCCCAATCAGCGGTTTCCGAATCTGCGCGTTCGAGTTTCCTGAATCAGCGGTTGTCAGTTTTCAGAATCCGCGGTTCCGGTTTCTCGAATCCCCGATTTCCGAATTCGCGTTTTCCAGTTTCCCGAATCAGGTTTTGCAGTTGCAGTTTCCGAATCCGTGCATTTTTTCAGTTTCCGAATCCGTCACTGAGCATATCTATCGCTGATGTACGGAGTCAGCATAGCACACAAGGCAACAACCGCACATGGTTTTTTCAAGGTGGGCAGGGAGCAACCGCATGCTGTATGAGTAACCCTCACGACCTGTCTCTTTACATGTTGATGGCAGACCAGTCTGGAAAGAGGAGAACATCTGCCGTTTTTCACAGTTGCGTCCTGAAGAGATTGGCCTACAGCGGTGGCCGAGTCCGGCAAATCGCAGGGCTTTCGGTTAAGCTGTAGCCCCTCTGAGGCAGTGAGCCCCGCAGATCGCTTGTACGTCTGGGGCACTTTCCTTGCGGAAGAAAGCGCCGGACACAGTGTTGTGGAGGAGGACGAGGAGGCCCAGTGACTAATTTTGAACTGCTCCATTCTGCCGGCAAAGCATTGACCATTTTTTTTCAAGCTGTGGCTGTTGCTGCTTCTTACTGCCGGATGCCATCTCTAGATGTTGCAATGGGAGTGAGTGGCCTCATGTCACGGCAGGTTGAGATGCTTGCTGAGCCAGCCGTCCAACCCACCACTTTCGCTCTTGAGCGGCACTAGCTTTGGCCAGTGTGGTTCCTTCTTGTGCAACATGTTGAGTAGAGGCAGTACATGCCTTACCCTGCGTTGATCTGCTTTGGCAGAACTTCGGTACAGCTTTGCCAGCATAATTGAGGTCGTTCACGATGTCCGCTGCGGCCGATTTGCCACGGCCGTGCTTACGGCGGAGGGCTCCCTCTATGCATGGGGCTGCTGAGTTGCATCTTCAAGAAGTGGTGGAACATGTCTTGCTGTAGCAGTGTTCCCGAAGTGAACCAAGGTCCGAACGAAGGACATCAATGTGGAGTGCCGACCGAGGCTCCAGTCGTGAAGGCTTTGACACAACTGAAGGCGCTCGCTGAAAGAGCATGCTGCGATTTGCCACAGCCAAGAAGCCTGCATGAAACTGCTGATTGACAGGTGCCGCGCAAAGTTCCAGTTGTCCAGCTGGCACTTGGCAGCTCACCTGCCCTGTGAGTTACTCACGTTATTGCTTTGCAAATCTTTCCAACATTTTACACACACAGCATCAGTAGTGATGGTGACGTCAGTGTTGTCGTTCAGTCTGCAGGAGTAAGTTTCAAGGCTTTTCCCAGCACCTTGGCCGAGGCGAGTTTCATGGGCTTGCGTTGACTGCAGAAGGCCGACCAACACGTCGGGGCTTTGTTGCGGGGGCGTTCCGCGCAGTTTCACCCTGTTCGGCCTGAAAGCAACAATCCTGCAGGAAAGTTCTTCTCTGTGGAACCTCAAGTAGGAGATAGTAGCGCTAGTAGCGTGTTGGAGTGTTGGATTGAGAAACATTGAGAATTCAACGAAGCCCCCTGCAGTGTCCAGGGAGTGTACTGGCTTGGGGCGAAGCCCAGGGCCCAGAAGCGAGGCTTGCAGCGGCCTGAGCCCTGCGAGCGCAGTCTCCAGCAGTGTTTTTCGCGATGTGACGATGTGTTTAGCATGCCTCTTTCCTCTTTTTTTGCTCGGCTTTGCGGATCGTGATGTTGTGTTTTTGGGTGAAGGCCAGCATGGCCTTGGAAGACCCGAAGCTCCGCGGTCGCTCGTCTGGGCTTGCTGCTTGTAGCAGGGCACGTGATGCCTTGATGGGGGAAGTCATGTTAGTAAAAGAGTTGGGATGCAAGATGGTGCAAGCTGAGGCCTGCTGCCAAGCAGCATTAGCTTCAAGCAGCCAGAGCCGCGCTTGCTTGACATCCCAAAAGTGGTGACAGCAATCGCGGCCGGGGGCTGCTCGCCTGAATCATTGCGCAGGCATCACTTTTTTGGCTTTGGCTCCGGATTCCAACAGAGCGTGCATGGATTTGGGCTGGGGGCTGGCGGTGTGCCATTCATGCTCAACTGCCTGTACTCAGCTGCTGAAGGGCGGGCCTCTCATAAAGCCTTCAAGAGTAGGCACTTTTTCGCTGACAGCCGCAACGCCCACTCGAGGCTACCACAGCGCAGCAATAACGGAGGATGGAATGCTATGGACCTGGGGCAGCTGCCCATTCGCAATTGCACTGTCCAGCATCTAGAAATTTGGGGAAGGCCATGCGTCTTTGAATGCAGTTGGCACATTGGTGCACATCGGTGGTGATGCCATTCAGAATCTCATGCGATCTCGCCATAAGTATCTTCAAGTAGCCCAAGCAGCAGATAGTTTCTGAGAGCTGTATTCCTGATGGCAGTCAAGGCAACAGCTACGGCCAGCTTGGCCTCGATTGCTCACGTGCGGAACTGCCTGAGGTGAGCTTGTTCAGTGTGCCGTGCACCATTTGGCAACTTTACCTGTCTTTGACCAGGCGAACGCTCCCCGACCTGTTCAGTTTTTTGGTCATGCAGGCCTGGTTATGACGGTCAAAAGCCATTGGCTTCACATATCTCAGAGCAACTTGACTCTTGTATACATGGATCTGACTGGCAATCTCTCGCATCCCCCCATTCAGACCGTCTATGTTCCCCTGGCCCTGGTCAGGCCTCCTGAAGGCTGTGAAGGTGTCGCTGGGCGGCTTCCATTCTGCTGTGGTCGACGAAGCGCGGTCGGCCAAACTTGTGCGACTTACCAGGGGGCATATACTGCTGTCTCTTGTTAAAATCGGCAGAATCCATGCCGAATCCATGAAGGAGGGTGCCCTCTTCACGTTTGGCGATAATCGGAGAGGCCGACTTCATATGCTTGGCACGCAAACAGTACAAACTGTACTCGCAGTTTCCGGCTGTCAATGTGTCACAGGTCAGTGTGGCCAAGGCTCATTGGCCACACTTCCAAAGCCCACGGCGCTCCCTTTGTCAGGCCGTGGCCGGACTCAGACAGTCTTGATGGCCCAGGTATCAGGCGCACGCTGCTTGAACCAAGGCTGTGTCGGAGTCAGCTGTGGAGGCGTGCCATGCAGCCCTGTGAGTGAGTGCGATCCAGACACTGGCACAGACAAGAGCTTGCATGTCAATCGTTCTTGACAGGCTTCTTCTCGTTCTTTGAGGTGGAGTCTGAGAGTGGGCCCTCGTTGATGGTCAGCGGCTGGGGCAAGGACTTGAGAAATGCCAAGCGTGTGGAAGCCACAAACTTTGGGATCTTTAACCGTAGATCCTGACGAAGTCAAGCCGACGTGTGATCATTGAGCGAGTTTGAGATACGAGCAGGAGGGTTGCCTGGGCTTCGGTATGCCCTGCAAGCGGCTGCTGCAGCCCCGACCGGTGAGGCCGCCGCAAGGTGCGATGCCCTTGAAAACTGTGAAGTTCAAAGCGCGGGCTTGCTTGGTCTTGGCCATGTTGGGACACTGAGTCCAGGCTCGCGTTGGCTGTGCCTACGTGCTGGTGTGGCTCATGTGGTCGCGCTCGTACGCTGACGCAGACAACCCAAAAAAGGTAGCACAGAGCCAGGGCTTCGGGATGCTCCGTATGCAATTTGTCGAAGAGGATGAGTACTCTGTCAGAGTGGTGACTCGTGTGGATGAATTGTTTCTTAGTTATTGTTTTGACATTGGGATACAGCAAAACGCAGGTGAAGGACGAGGTAAGCCGCTGATTGAGGGATCTGAGAGGCCTCTGCCAACAGTGTGCAAGTTGTGCAACATTGTGCACAGTGCGCAGCAGCGCGCTGGTCCTCAAGTGATGTTTCGGTGTGATCTGCGCAGCTCTCAGGCTCGAGTAAGCTCACTTGGCCAGTGTTCAGCCCTGTTCGTTTCAGGCAGATTCCATGTCGAGCATGACCCTGGCCGCAGATTCAGTCATAATGTTGGACTGACTTTAGTATAAGGAGGGTCTATAATCACAAGTTTCCAAAGTTTTTTCTGCGAACTGAGTTTGCCTAGGGTACCCGCTATTATCACATGTTTTTTCCGGACGTTTATTTTGTTTTGAACGGGTTTGTGTGTTGGGTTTAAGGGCTTACGCAGTAAGGCTTCAGGCCCTGATGGCCTTGAGCTCCAGGAATCTGAAAGAGCCAGAGCACGGAGAATCCAGATATCTAAGCCCGGCCAGTTCCATGTAAAGCTTTATGGAATTTCATTACGAAACGAGGCCCCAAACAAATTTTGTGATAGGGTAGCCCAGAGGCCGGTCAGACTGTCTTTAGTAAGTTTGTCTGGCTACCCTCTAGAATACCAAGTTTTTTTCGGATGATTTTCTTTTCAGGGTTTGTGTTTAGGGTTAAGGGCTTTCGCAGCAAGGCTTGAGGCCCTGAGGCCTTGGGCTCCAGGAATCTTAAAGGCTGGAAAGCTTCAGGCCTTCGGGTTGAGACCCTGAAGGGCGGTTTCCCCCCCCGCCCCCTCCCCCATTTGTTTGGGGGCCATGAAAAAGGGGTCCCGCATACTAAAGACTGTGCAACATTAACCAGGCTTGGCTGGCCTTCGTCGCAGGCAGCAGTAGTGCTTTGTGGAATGTTAAGTTCGGCAGCGAAGCAAAGCAGCTCGCTTGAACGCTGGGCCCACCGAGGATGGCTCTCCGTCTTTTCTTCGTCGTTGCCGCGCTTCGTGGTGCAGAGGCCTCTCTTCGAGGAAACCTCCACGCGAATGCGGGGTCCATGAGCTGCTTGGTGATAATAGTCGAGGCATGTCAGCACACTTAAGGTGACGGAGCCAAGGTCAGGTTATTTTAGGTCATTCCCAAGGCTCCCTTTCAGATTTTTGATTTTTCATGCGTGACAGTCTCATCGGGACAACTGTTGCTTGTTTGCTAAGGCACGGAGCAGCTCCGAGAGACGGTGTTGCAGGAGGCAGGATAGTGGCTTCCGTGGCTTTCTCTCTGATTTTCAGCGTCTTCCTATGTTCATCACTGGGAGACGGTCTCGAAGAATCTTGCTTGTGCTTTCCTGCCCTCTATCTAGGTGATGACGGCCCTTGGTAGCCTGGGGCCTCAGCTTTGCTACGAATACCTAATGACTTCCGGACGCTTCTGGGACTAGGAATCATTTTGTTGGGAGCGCATCGAGATGATCGAGATGGTTGAACAAATTCGAAGCTGTGGTCCTCGCAGGTGGCAACCGCGTCACTGAGAAGCGTCTCAAAACCATTGAGACGGCGTTGCGGCCCACCTTTCAGGCCACAACATCCAGAGCTCTGCAGGTAACAGGGAAATCAGGTGACACAGGTTGGGCAGACTTGACATGTGCAGAAGGTAGTTCAGGCGGGCAGCAGCAGTTTAGCGGCTTGCACGAGGCCATGCCCAAGAACGCTTACGGCAACTTGGAAGATGCTGCAGCCAGGCTTCCAAAGCATGCACAAGAGCCGACTGGGTCTCCCATAGCTGTGACTTGGCAGGTATGTGTTGCACCGGCTCTTTGTCCAGCGCCATGCCATGTACATCAAGGCCAGGATGATCGCACCCCCGCCAAAAGGGTAGGGGCAAAAGCTGAAGCATGCGGGGGCATCCAACACAATTTTAGAGACCCACGGTCTGCGAAAAACATCGTTTTCCGGGTAGACACGCTGCGACAGTTTCAGATACCACCAACGCCAGGGCGCTGGTATGGGGAATGCCAGCGCCTCCCCGTAAATATGGCCGTCTCCGAGCTCCGATGTCGCAGAAACCCTGACCTTTGACATGTGGAACCACAGTGGAAAACCAAAGCCGAACCAGCCCCGGCTGGTTACTTGGAGGGGTGTCTCAATCTATAGGTGCAGCCCCCCAGTGCGTGATAAGACTCTTCCTAGTAGTAGGAAGGTGTTCGGCACGGCACAAAATGCATGCCAGCGAGTGCACATAAGAGGATACCGTACCCGCTGATTGACCAAAGTGGCCAACCGAGCCTGCATTCCTTGATTCCCCGCAAGACTTGGTGAATTGGCAGCTTCACAGGACAGGGTTGCGGCAAGTCACAAATCTCAGAGAGACACTGCAGTCCCAGGGACAAAGAGTACCGACTTCGTTGGGGTCAGGTGGGGTTTCGCGCCACCCTCACAAGTAGCTGTAGGCTTGTCGAAGCTCTGTCCTTGTGTGTGTGTGTGCCTCTTCGTCTCACGGTCATGCGCAGATGCAGACGTCTCCTCTTCACCTCTCCCTTCTGCTGTCGATGCAAGAACATTGCTTTTGTTTTCTCCCAAGAAGGGCTCAGCTGTATTGGCCAGGGCCTCGAAGCCAATGGCATGAACTGGAAGAACATGACCACCACGGAGGCGCCGCTGTCTCGAGCACAAATAAGCTTGGGGATGAAATCTTGTCAAAATTTGGCGCAAGTAGTCTTTTGAGTCCAGAGATTCTTGTTGCGAAACAGCGTGGCAGGTTCTTGATCAGCACGTGCCATCCTTTGTCCTGTCGCTGTTCGAAGATCGCTTGAAGGACCTTGGGGGCATGAGCGAAGAGTCTAAGCGAAAACTGCAAAATTCGGATTTTCTCATCCTTCTGAGAGCATTCTGAGCCCATCTGCCTGTTCTCTCGTAGAGTGCTTTCGTGGAGCACTGCGTTTCCGCGAGGACCAAGGCCTTGGCCTTCACGAGCTGACTGTGCTTGCAGCCACCTTGGAGCACCTGATCCATGACGAGGCGAGATGCTGCCTTCCTGTGCTTCTCTTCGTGCTTCTATTGCTTCTGTTTTTACTGTTTTTAAGACGCTTGTCTTGTGGCTGCAAAGCTGTTGCGCGTAGCGTAGACTGCGTCAGTGCCTGAGGCGGTGAGTCGACTCGCCGTTGTGTACGAGGTGCTGCAAGGATACAGCAGATGCTTGCAGATCTGCTGCATTTAGGCTTGGTAAGACTAAAGGCGCACAACTTGTCGATGGCCGATCGCGTGCAGGAGGCAAGATCTATTTCTTGCTTTTGTCGTTTCAAGTTTAGGCTCCGTGAGAAGAGATCCGCTACACTTGACATGAGGCAGCAATGTGCGTGACGCGTCGCTGCGGGGCTGTGAGCAAATCCGCGCGGTTCGTCGCAGGTGGTGCTGCAGGACTTGATCGACACCTACATGACCATCTTCCTTGTTGGAACACAGAACTTGTCAGCCACCACAGTTTCGAAAGAGTCCTGGCGGGCACTTGGAGAATACCGCGTTAGGGTGCCACGACATATTTGTTGTTTGGGTTGCAGATGCTGCGCCCATGCATCCCGTGACATTGCAAGGAGCGTGCCCTGATCGTCGAGAGCTACCCTGGCTGGCATGAAACACAAAAGTTCACGATGCAAGTGCGCGGGAGCGTGCTTGCGTCGAAGGACAGTATAGCCGCCAAAGCTCATGTCTAGCAGCATCCAGGAATTTGCTCTCGTTGTGCCATTATGCCCAGATTCTGTATTCTGGATGTCAAAACGAGCCAGTCGTGTTCGGCCTGGTCAGGACGCAGACGCCGACTTCTCGCCAGACAACTTCTCCTTCCGGGCAGCCACACAGATTGTTGAGGACTTCAGTCTTTTTCCAGTGCAGGTGAACTAGGCTACTCTGAGGAGCATGACCTTGGGTCCCGAAATCCGAAACGAAGTAGCTGCTAAGTAGCTTCGCCAAGCCTGGAAGACAGAGAACCGCGAAGGAGATTGGTGAGCGCTATGGTCGGTGGCAGGATTCGGAGTGTCGTGACTTGAAGAGCGGCTTGGTACAACGGTTCTCAGAATGACGATATGGGCATTCCAACTGCTTGCGGTGGCTGAGGTTTGCTCGTCAAGTATGAGCACGCCGATACTGGACGCGTTCTGCTGAAGGACGCAGCTTCTTGTACAACGAGCGTTGAATCTGGTGCACTTTATGCACCAGGGCGCTGAGTTTGCAGTGGCACAGGACTTCTACTCTGCGGCACTCGGCGGGCAGTGGCAGTTCTCTGAAACTTGGAAGCGCTTGGAGATTTGAGGTTTGATTCGCTAGATTTGCTAGTTGCCGACAGCTATTCTTGGTAGGATGTACTGTTGGCACATATTCTTCGTGCAAGCACTTCTGGCAAGCACTTCTTGCAAGAATGTCTTGCAAGCGCCATAAGGAGAGCATCGACTATCTGCGGGAGTTGGGAGCATTGGATGAGCGCCGCACCTAGTTCCACGCACTAGAAGTTTGAGTTTTCTTTTGGCGTTCCCATCCGCATGTGTCATGTGGGAACGGCACGAGGGTCCAATTCGGCATTGTCATGTGCCCCAAGGTCGGACCCAGCTCACCTGGCAGTCTTCATTCCAAACTATGTCAACTCGCAATCAAACTGTGTGGCTTCATCCAGCATCTATTCCGTTTGCTGCATCAATGAGTGCGAGGCGCGCACGGCTGAAAAAACAGCAGGTGCTAAGTCATGCTGGCTCTTCTGGACGGTACTTGCAGTGTGAGAGCCTTGCAATGGAGCTACAGAAGCTATGTCTTCATGAGCTAGCGTCAGCTGTCTTCCCGAATGATGCTTTTCCGTCTGCAAAGGGTATCCTGTGCCAGGCACTGCTCGGAAGCCTTGAAGCCAAGGTTGCCGCCCCGGAGGCCTGGGAGTGGTCACAGTCTTTGAGCCAATGTCTGCGAATGCAAGTGCACGACGTTGCACAACAGTGCATGCCGTGTATGCAGCATGAACGCATCTACGCAGCATCTGCGGCATGCACAGACTGACAGAGGCGACGCCGGAGCAGATCCTGGAGCTCGTTGCGGCAATGCCCTCTGCCACTCTCCGCGCTCCACGGGAGCTCCTCGGGCGACGCTTTGGGGCTTTTAGCACCTTTTAGCCATGCGGCTATTGCGTGTCTTGGGCCACGCTTGACTTCGGCTGCAGACTCTGCCAGGCTTTCGCGTCCATTGGCGGATCGTCTCCGTGAGGCCTGCGTGTGGAGCACACGTGCTGGAGCACACGTGGTATCCTCTGCAAACTCTCCAGAAGAGGGAGAAAAGGTAGGGCGAAGGCAAGTTCATCTACTCTTCCATATGGGTTTGTGTTTTTTTGGGGGGCTCAGGTTTATTAAGAAGGGCACACGGGTTGCACACCCCCGCGAAACATACCCCGTAACATGCCCGAAACACACCCCCGAAACATACCCCCGAAATTGCAGGTAAAGTAGCTCATGATTGCGCGAAACATACCCGAAACATACCCCCGAAACATACCCCGAAACATACCCCGAAACATACCCGCGAAACATACCCCGACCCCAACACTTGCCGCGCGCCTCCCCATTAAAATGCAAACCCATATGATCTTGTGAGAGAGGGACGAGAGACCTGGAGGAGGTGTACACGGTCACTTCTTGTCCTGCGTTGCTGTTGCATAAACGGAGAGCATCTGCGCCTTGTGGGTTCAGTGTTGCCTCGGTAGGTTGCCGCCCAGCACGGTGGCGCTGTGCCCCTGTGCCTTGAAAGCAGTTACGGCGCATCATGGTCTGCTGGCGAACAAGAGTCGTGGGACCGGTGCAAACAGGCATGGGCGCCTCTTTGCCCAATGGCTGCCCCACACTTAGAGACACTCATAGCCAGCCGTCATGAACAAGGTGGTTGCGCTCCTGAATCGAGATATCGATCCGACTGCGCTCAGGCATCATGCCTATCCACGGGAGCACAGATCTCAGATATGAGCCGAGAAAATGCAACGCCAGTCCAAGCTTGTTGGATCTTGTTGGCAAGGTGCCCGTATCCTCATGTGGCGGGCAAGACAAATCCCATGACTGCCGACGAGTGGATGCAGGAGCGCTCAATGAAAGTGAGTGCAACATGCCACGTGCGGGGGCGGGCTGGAGCAGTTCAAGCAGTCAGTCTGTTGTCCTGGCATATTTGTATTGCAGGCCAGGGGCCAATCCGTCTCTGCAACGAAGGACCCGTCGGTTCTGTGTATGACGATGCAGTCGAATGCTTTTCAGGGAGCTAGACCGTGCAAGAGCCCATGCTAAGAAGGGACCTCTCTGAGTGGTTGGTGATGTGAAGCCTGTCTTGGCACAGGAGGACATGAAACGCTATTTGGAGGTGCCCTGGTTTGACTGATCGGCTGACAGGTTGCCTTCGAAGCCACAAAGCATGCTCAGCAGTCATGGAAGCGTCGATCTTCCGTGCTTGTCGCGATTGGTTGTACCTGGCGGCGCTGATTGGCGGCAAGTCCACGCCCATTTTCCCAAGGCAGCACCTTCCGCGAAGCCAGCGGCAGAGCTTCCTTGGTCTGCCGAGGTGATGGCCTCCTTTCTCAATGATTGCTCGCGGTAAGCTTTGCTGCTGCGAGGAAGAGCTTGTGGCCCGGGAGAAGAAGCCGACAGGCCCCTCATAGTGCAGCAGGCCCTTTGCTGTCGGGCAATGTGCTCTCCTTGGCAGGTTTCGGTGCTCTCATCCGCAAGGCCTTGTGAGCATTTCCGAGCACGCATGTTTCAGTGCTGGAGACCTGCTGCATGCCAGAGCTGCGAAGCCAGTAGCTCGTCTCAGTTTTTTAGCGATTGTGTACCTGCAGTAAAGAACGTCGTCGAGACTTAGAGAATGCTGATGTTATGTTCGTAGTAGCCTTTGCAAGTTACTGCTGTTGAGTGGCTAACCCCTGCGCGTTCAGGGCCTCCAGAAAGTCAATCTTCTCAGTCTATTCAGTCTGCCCTTTGAACATGAGCCAACAGGCCCTGTTTGTCGTTTTTGGCTTGGTTGCCGCCTACTCCTTTGGGCCAGGGGCTGAGGGTCTGAATCCTGGGCTGACTTTCCAAAAGGTCTGCCGAACCTGGTTCCATGATGTTACATGCAGTTCTTAGTGGTTGGTATAGGTGGAAAGAAGAGTTCATGGATGTTCATGGTTCATCAGCTCATCCTTGCTTCAGCCTGCCCCATTCGCCTCTCAGGAATCATGCTTGGCAAGTTGGCCACAGGGCAAGATCCCCGCTTCTTCCTTGCGCTTTGGGCTCAGTACGGGAAGGCCTTTCGGCCCAGGCTATCTTTTGTCATGGCCTCCTGCCAACCAAGAAGCTTGGCTTCTGAGGTGCACAAGCAGCATGCTTGCTGAGTGCGCAGGCTTGGAGGACAGCTCCGGCACACAGATCGGTATTCTACTGTGTTTAGAGCAAGCAAGCTTGCCAGTTTCTGCTGCCGAGAGGCTTTGTGCTCCCGAAGCAGACAATCGCGTGACATCTTCTTTCTTCCCAACTCGGAAGGAGGGCAAAGTTCGCACACTCTCGGGCAATGCCCCTGTGCTCAGAGACCATGTGGCAGAAAAGGTCAGTGGCATGCAGGCGCCATGCAAGTGTGAGGGCCTTCGATAGCAGATGAAGGAAGAACGAATGGAAGGAACATTCTCGGAAGGTACTGTAAAGGAGGCGGAAGCCAGCACGGCAGCCTGGTGAATGGGAGACGGGGACAAGCATGCTACTTACAGTTTGCAAACATGGGGAGAGCCTCTCTTTTGCCTCACCTGCTAAAAGGCCAAGTGTGCTCTGATGATTTGCCAGGTCTTGCACAAAACAGCTGTCAAAGGGGGAACATCCACTGAGAGATGAACACATCAACACGTTCTTTCGAAGTGTTTCGAACACATTTGGCTAACGCAGTGTTTTGCTTGTATTCAAGGTTTGGCCCCAGGCAGGTTGTGGTGTCAGCCTGGCATGGCTCGAAAAAGCTCGCAAAGAGCAAGATCTCGAGAACCTCATTGGAATGTAATTGCGATTAAGCCGATGCAAGCAGCGGTCAAGAGTCATCAAATTTCTTGTAGCACCCAGGTGAATCACCTACTTAGTTAAGTTATGAGCTCCTCAAGTGCTTGAAAGACTTGGATATTTTTGAAAGTGTTGAAGCTCACACTTTCAAAATGCAAGACGCGAATGCTTCGCCCTGGCCTGCCGCTTGGCGCTTGCCTGCGCGCCCGGCCTGCAAGCGTGGCCAGGCCGCGACTCACGGGGCAGATGCGGTCGTATGTGGTCACTTGGCATGTCCAGTTGCGAGAGCTGCAAGAGGCACCTCTCGACGCCAGCCACCGCCGCCTCTTCCAGCGCGGCAAGTCTGGATCATGGGCCGGCCTCGATCTTCGAGCGCATCTCCAAGCCCAAGGCTGTCTGACGTTTGTATCGTTGGTACTAGAGAGGCCTTTCAATGTTGCCCATCAACCTTCGCATGGCGACAGCAGAAGCAGAGTGTGAAGCTTGATCGATGTATGTACAGGAGTTGCATGTTTCGACTTTCAAGATGTAATTGAAGGTGCCACCTGCATCGGCTGCAAATTTTGAAAACTCTCAACCTTTGTGGTTTGGGGTCATGGCCGCCATGGTGCATCGGAGGCTCTTCGACTCGAAAGCACAGTGCCTGATTTATCATTCACTTCAGCATGTATCGAGGCAGCACCTCATCTTTCTCAAGAGAGCCTAGACTTGTTCACGAAGCTGGCAAGTCCTGAAGATGTGTCAGCACCTCAGTCTGTCAACGTCTCGGCGGTTCCCGGTTAGCGCACAGCAATGCACAGCAACGCCATCCTGTCTTGCACGTTGCACGAAAGGCCTCTGCAGTTCCGGCAGGCAGCCAAGTCAGGCACACGTGACAAGAGGAACCGCGTAGAGAAGCGTAGGGTTGTTGCCTACCTCTTTGACAATCATCCCATTCTTTTGTCGTCTGTTGGCGGTTGACTCTGTTGTTGATCTTGTTTTGTTTGGAAGGACATGGGAAGCCCTGAGTCGAACAGCGGTCCACTCCCTGCGACACTTCAAGGTGTGAGCGCTCAAGCTGGCCCCGAATCCGTGCGACGTTTGCGGATGTGTGTGACATGTGTGTGTGTGCTTTGTCAGGTCAGTCATGTTGCAGGAATCCTGGACAGCTGTGCGCAGGCCATGTGCAAAGTCATTGTCCTACTCCAAGAGCCGAAGCCCGAAATGGAAGGGACTACGTTAACTTCACGCAAGCCTGCCTACGAAGCAATGCCCTGCCTACGAAGCCCGAAGGCCCAAAGCCGCAAACCCTGAAGTACCAAATTCCCAAGCTCAGTTGAGTGGTTCTGGAAGTCGGTCATCGTGAACGTTCGTGCCACTTTCCGCAGGTGTCGTGGCGCGACGACTACTTGCTCTGCGGCCTCGCCGAGGCCAACCAAAGCGCCGCCAACCCGAGCTCCACCTGAATCGTGAAAGCGTGGATAAGCGTGGATCAGTGCAATAAAGTGTGGGCATTGTCGAAGATCTTTGTGAGGCCCTCCGCTGCGGCGCGGAGCTTCGGCGGGGCACGGTGAGGCGTGCACTGAGCCGCGTAAAGGGATGGCGGAAGGACCTCCCAAAACTTGTTCGGAGGTCAGTGCCTGGTCTTAAGAGAGTTGTCTGCATCGCTGGATTGGCCAGGGACTATACGCTGTGCCTTCAATCTCTACGCCGCCTCAACTACTGTCCATGGGTTGGTGCCCTGAGGCCAGCTGTCAAGATATGTCAAGATCACATGCACTAGGCAATGCGCAGTCACTTGAAAGAGGGGGGATGTGTGTGTGTGTGTGTGTGTGCGCGGCATTGCGCGGGCTGGAAGTCGAGAGGCCTGTCCTTGCGGAGCTCCGATGGCGTCTCCGGCGTCACCACTGGAGACCGATCGTGGCCTTCTCAGAACAACATCCCGCTTGACTCTAATACTCCTTGTCAAAGTGCCCTTGAATTGAAAGCCACTGCTGGAGCTCCGAAGCTCTTTCTCCCGTATCTGCATGACCCGTTCAGTGGTACCCAAGTTCACGTTGCAGCCATGTTGAATGGTCCGAGTGGTCAGAACTGAGCCGTGCGCTGTGTGTTCAGGATGTTGTTCTGGCTCTGCGCTTTCTTGCAGCGTTCTCGGTCCAGCACCTGCCGCAGGTGCGCACGTCAAGTTCATTTACTCAACGTACTCTTGCTGTGCGGGCTGCCACAAAACTCTAAAATGTTAAAAAGCTTGACGCAGAAGAGTCGCATGATGCCTCCAGACCGGAACAACAGCGCACAAGCGGAGTAGTAAGCGAGCAAGAGAGGAAAGGACAGGGTCGCCGAAGGAATTGTGGCACGCAAAGCCATGCCAGAGGAGGTGACAGCGAGGGGGCCGCTTCATGACGAACACGAGACAACAGCCGCTAGCTGCTAGCTGATCCGTCCACTCAAGCCAAACGCCTAGGCACTAGGCTGATTCACAAAGCCTTGGTGTGCTCACCGATTGCCGTGCTGACACGAGTGAGACTGGTACGTAGCCTGTGCATGATTGAAGACCTTTTCAGGGTTTCGGAGATCTTGGAAGATAGTTCTGTTTCGGATCCATTGTCTATTGGTGGGTTCTAGTCGGATGGTGCGGTACCCGTGCACCTATCCACGCTATCTTGGGATAAATCGCGAATCCATGCCCATGCCACGCTATTTGAGGGTGCCTTCGGCTGGACGTTCCTGTTGAAAGCGGTACCCAAAAAGATAACATGCTACGCATTCCTTGTAGTCCAGCGCTTGACATCAGAGTTGGTAGACGACCATGCAATCGACAAACTTCCTCGTGTTTTGAACTTGCTTCTTGCATGGCACTCAGAGTGGCTGCAAGGTGCGAATTGAGGCTGTCGCCTTTTGTCGCGAGTGGAGCTGGCCCGAGTTCGAAGCAACTTCAAACTGCTGACCGGTCTGATGCGGTCAAGTGGATAAGCGGGCATGTTTCCAATGTGCTGTAGCGAGCATATTCGGCAGATTACATGCTGCTAGCTTCGGACTGTGCAATGGGCTAGGTTCATGTCAGTGCCTGCAAGATGGACAAACAAGAAGAATGCTACGACATGCCAGGCTTCAAATGAAGGCTGAGAAAAGACTTGGCGACATGAGGCGACTGTGAGCATTGCCATACCTCGGGAGCATATATGAACCGTGCAACCAACTGGAAATTAGCCGAGCTACAGGCATCGCCCACACTCAGATTCTTGTGAAAGGGCGTAGGCTGCGGTGTTTTGAAGAGGTCCTGACTGACAAAGCCAGTACGTCCTTCACATCCCCAAAAAGACAATGTTGAAGGTCATGCAGGAGTTGCCATGCCTTTTGCAGAGGTTCATGTCATCAACATCAGTACTCCGAGACTGGAGTTGGATTGAAAGCTGCCTCGGAGGCATCTGGAACTCGCCCACTTTGCACGCGCTTTGGTTCAGCTCAACGATAAAGGAGGTTTACCAGCTCCTCGGCCAAAGAACCAGACACTGCCTACTTGCCTGCATACATTTGCATGCCTCAAGCCCACAAGATGCGCCACCGGTTCCCAGCTATGATCTGGATTCGATTGTGAAACATCGTGTAAAGCAACCATGTGCAGCGCTCCAGTCGGGATGTGGCATAATGCTCGCCGAGCTTCCCTGAATCACTAAGGACACACTGTTGCTGGAGCGCGTTGCCGAGAACTTTTCTCGTCGAGCATCGGACCTACCGCTAGGCCAGATCTTGGAAAGGAGTCGGTGGATGTGGGCGGCTTGACATTCATGCCTCTGGGGCAGGAGCCATGCTGCACATGTCAAGCAGCCTGCCCGGCCGCCTCGTTTACTTTGTACGGGCCGCACAATACAATGCAGGCTTCTTAGCCACATCTGCAGCTTGCCTTGTGTGGCAGCCAGGCTGGCTGCTCGGGCAGACGCCCCTTCTGAATTCCGGCGTGTCCTTATCGACAAGGCTCAGGTACTACCCTCCTGCACCTGAAGCTGGGTGCCTTGCGCGAAGTATCCTGCCCTTGCGTCGGCTTCTACAGATGGACTTCCGCATCATGCGTGGGAATGGCAGTTGGCAAGAGTGGTTAACACACGGCATCACCACAAGAAGAATGATGAACGATTGACGATGTAATCTTGAGGGGGCACTGCTAGTTTGATGGATTGCTGCAGTGGCGGACTCGAGCTCCCATGTCACCAGCATCCCCTACATGCCAACGGGAATCTACATTGAAGTCTCCAAACAACTAACACTGGTGAGCACTGGTGCCGGATGGGACCTTTCGCATGAGAGACTCATCAGCCAGAACCCCAGCATGGGCTTGAGTGTGCGAGCAGAGAGAACCTTAGCTTTGCTGAAAGCATTGGTGCTGTTCATCGCACGAAACATCACGTAACCGATCGGAGCTGAACGTGGAAGATTCCAAGGCTGGGGAGCATGAGAGGGCTCGCTGCAAGCTTAGCAAAGCCCATTGCTGCGTTGCAGCGCTTGGGACACGTGAGCGTGCTTCATGTTGGCCCCGCCTTCGGCATCTTTCAGCCAAGGCTAGGGCCATTTCTTTGGCGGACTTGCTGTGGTCGGGCCTCCCAGAATGTGTGTGTGGAATGTGGTAGAACTCCATGATTCAGCTGCATTTTGGTTTCCCCCAACAGCCTTTTGGTTTTTCTGCTGCGCAAGCGTCCTCGGAAGTCCCACCTCCTCCCCATCTTCTCCTGCGCATGCGCATGCAGATGTCTATGGTTCCAGAGGGCATGCTGCACATGTGACATTGTTCAAGCTCCCATGATGCACAGCTTGCGATTCAAGGAACGCATCAAGATACAGCAGCCTTTATCATTCTGTACTGCTTAGAGCCAGCTTTGCGCGGCCCTGCACTTTTCGTGGGTTTTCGGCCTTCAGGGTCGTTTCTTTTGGGGAGGGTGGGGAGGGAGAAGGGGGTTGGGCCCAACTGCGCTTGCGCCCAGGTGTGAAGCTCGTTTTTCGGGAGCCTTCGTAATCCCCCCACCGCCTCCCCAAGTGTACTTCAGCGTCAAGAATTTCGGGCGCCTGCTCAAACCACCATTCTTTGTTGGACACCTTCGCGCGCCAATTTCTCAAGAGGCCGATCCGAAGATGTATTTAAACGCAGGGGCGCACTGGCGTTGAATTCAAGTTTTCAGCGCCAGCAAAGCTAGGGGAGTTGGTCCAATCAACACCATGCCGGCGAAGCCGTCGCTTTGTCTTATCACGAAAGCTCGCGTAGCGAAGCTGGAGTTTTATCTGCTTTAGCAGCAGGGGGCCGACCACGGCCAGAAAACAGCGTATTATTGATACTATCTTATTAGGGGGGGGGGTGCCGGGGGGGGGGGGGGTAAATTGATATATCACCACGAATTCCTTGTTTTGGGAGGGGATGGGGGGGGGGGAGGGGGGGGGGGGAGGGGAGGGGGGGGGGGGGGGGTAAATTGATACATCACACGAATTCCCTGGTTTTGGAGGGGGGGGGGTGGGGGGGGGGGGGGGGGGGGGTAAATTGATATATCAATACCTTAAGGGGAGGCGTTTTTACGTCAAGACCTGACTCCGTCGCGTGTTGACCGCAGCGCGTGAGTCAGGCTCCCAGCACAACATGCGTCGCCGCCCACTAGTGATGTGTTGATTGCAACAAGCTAGTTGATTGCAAGAAGCTAGTATCTACCCAACACTGCGACGGCTGAAAAGAAGACGCTGGCCCCTCAAGCATGCCTCCAACTGGGCCCTGCCCGCACTTTCTCTTGCAACTTTGCTCTTGCTTCCGGCCCCCGAGCTTTCGTCCTCCCTGCCTCCGGCCCTCAAGTGTACGTCGTGTTGGCAGATGCAGCTCTGGGCAAGACTTGTTACAAATCAAGAATTCTGCCTTTGTCAAATCTACGGTCCATGTTCGACTGACAGTTTTGCTATGTGGTTCTTTTCGTGCTTTTGTGCTGTGATGTGTGCGGAAATGGTGAATCATGATGGCGGGACTTTCAGTTTGCGTGGCGTGGCGTGTGCATGCGCGTTCTCTTCCATGACCTGCACGTTTTCAAGTATGATCGTGAACAGGGCCGATGCTGCTGTCGTCGACTGCGGCAGGACCCGCAGATCAGTGCCAGGCTGTTGTGTTTCTTCCCTTTGTATGGTGGCATCTCCGGTCATGCCGTCTCCTTGAATGCTCCACTGCACGTGAACTGTTGGAATCAGCTGTCCCACTTGTGACAAGAAAGTGAAACCCGTTTCATGGTGCTTGTGTATCGAGAGAGTAGGATGCGCGAAGATGGATCCTGTCTCACGCCCCCTGGCCAGTGAGCTGCTTTTGGACATGTGCATGTTGTGCTTTGGACAGGGCCTTTCTTTAGGCAGTGTGTCACTCAGGCGACCGCATTTCATGGATCTGCATTGCAGCGGCTGTGGCAACTTCTCCGTACATGAACCACTCCGCGGGCGCTTTCTCGTAGAGGATACTGATCAGCATCTCAGTGAAGAAACGTACCATTTACAAAATTTAGCAGACGAAGCAGCCCATGTGATCTGGGATGGTTGCTCGCAATGTATGCCAAGGATGCTGTGTCTCCACTTTTGCTGAAAGAGCTTCTTGCGCTGGCACCTGAGGCTGATTCTGCTGCCCTCAAACATGTTGCGACCGAGTCAAGATGCTGACTCACATCCCGCATAACAGGTGGTCGTTCCAGGGGATGGCTATGGCGGCCGAGCTCGTCTTTTCAAGAAGGATGAGGCCTGAAATTTCAATGAGACGTCAAGACGTGTCATTCGCCGTCATCTTGTGGGGCTCTGGCGCCAGGTTTGGGCTGGAATTCAGCTTCTGGATGCCGCCGACTGGGCTGTCGAGCAGGTTTGGGGCTCACTTTTTGTGCTCCTTTTTCATTGACGATGCCTGGAGCCGATGCCATCTTTGCATACTGATTCTGCTCAGGGTCAGTGGGTTTTAGTAAGGCTCCCGAAAGCTCATGCCATCTCGGCTTTGAGAGTTCAAAAATGGTTCGGGGGCCGCATTCGGGCCAATACAGAAGTCTCCTTCCGAGAGGTGACCTTTTTGAAGCTACAGTGTTTGTACCACAGTGCTCACTGTCGAGCTGCCTTTGGTGCTTCTGGAGGGTCGGGTTTAGCGAGACTGGAGTCTAGACGAGCACCAGAAGCTTGCGACGACAACTTCCTGCTGTTGCAGGTTTTTGTGGAAGCTGAGTGCTTGCATAGACATTTGCGATGGGTGCCGAGATTCCCTAAGACAATTTCCGTCTTTTGTAGCTCGGCCATGCCCCGCAGTTCTGCGGATGCTGCGGCCAATGTGCATCATGAGAATGGGCGATATGGGCGCGTGAAGACCACAATGAGACGTGCCTAAATCAGTACAGGCTAGAGGCCATTGCAACCCCCTCCCTTTGGCGAGATGATTTGTTTTCGCGGCTTCAGTGTCGAGGTGGCACTCATACTGTAGCAGCAGGGCGTTAGTTGCTGCACTGCAAGATCCTTCGACATGCAATCTCAGTTGTGTCATGATTTCAGTACCAGAGTACCAGTGAGGCCCAAGATCTGCTTGTCCTGTGTTGGAGAATTGCAGGCAAAAGCAGGCCGACGAGATGCGTTGGCCTTTGCCCGAAGCTTCGTGGAGGCCTGGTGGCTGTGAGGCATACAGTAAGGACACGAACATGATGAGCATTGACCTTCATTTCCGGATGTGATGCTCCGGCAAGCCACAGCTCATGATGTGGATGACCCTGCACCAGATTTGTGTTCGCAGAAAGCATGGGTAAGAGTCGGCTAAACGTGCGTGCTCGAGTTGTGCATCTAAGCTTGACCGAAGGAACTGAAATGCAGTCAAACTCTTTGCAAGCTGTTGTTTGGATCAGGGTGGAGACTGCTTGAGTGGTAGAAAGGCAGTGGCTCTCTGCAACATGCTATTTCACGCAATTCGCGCGAGGTGGTGCACATAATGAGCAACCCGACAGCACTTGGCCGCCACCTGTTTTGATGCACCAGTTTATATCGCATGATGTGCCTCTTATCTCGAATCAGAAACCATGCTCGACAATCTCTTCGACCTGAAACAGCCGGCAGCCGAGTCTGGCTGTTTGTGCTCAAGTCCTGCGCGGCGCCCCAAACAATGGGAGCGAGGCAGGCCACCCTCCACTTTGCGCAGCTGGTATGTAGACAGAAGGATCCCACATCCGCCGAGGCCACCCGAGAGCTTTTGAGCTTTACCCGTTAAAGCCTGCTTAAATGTGATTTCCACATGCAGGTGGGAGACAGCCACCCTGTCCACTCAGACAGCGGCTGCGTTTACCAGGCACGGAGTCATAAAATGAAGTGTTGTTTTGCGATGATTGATCGCCGTCGCTGTCGTCTGTAGTCATCAGCGTTTCAGAGGGGGGACCGCGGCCACTGGGACACTTCTGTTTTCTCGACAAGAGGAGCCTGCGGACAACGAGAGCGAGCCTTGCATCGCTGGTGAGGCCAGAGAAGCGGTGGTGTGCGTTTTTTGTTGCAAGGAGATTTGTGGAAGGCTCTTTTCTTCTCTCAGGATGACCCCCGCACACATGCGGCCTACCTGTACTTGCACGGGCCCGAGAGTGGTGATTTTCGAGGAGGCAGGATGACTGCCAATACGACTCCTCCTCTTGCAAGTGTTTGACATTCAGCCTCACAATTTGTCGAGTAACCCTTCACGGGGTACATGCTAGTGTCATCTATAGCTGCTAGTCAAGCAGAGCGAGATGAGATTTCATGTTTCTCAAGCCAGGGGACTTCTTCTTCGCCCGCAGCTTTGGGGACGGTCAACGAGTGCAGCTGCGACCTGCAGCAGGTCGTATGGCTGCAAGCTCAGATCTGGGTACTGTGTCTCGTTGCGAGAAATTGCAACGTCGCCAAATGACCGCACTGGAGATGCTAGAGTCGTGGCTTCTGTGGGGCCTGCATGCACATCTTTGATGCACGACACTCCCGCATACATCGATGTTGTGCGGTGCTGGTTATGCTGACTGTCTGCAAGGTGGCGATTGCTGCGGGCAGTAGCAATCTTCACGGTGTGGAGCACCTCGAGGTACACCGTCGGCCTCATGAAACCATGGTTGCTCATTGAATACCTCATGCACATGCCCTGGCAAGTCACCTTGCGACACAGATCTCAAAAGCAGTGGAAGGGTGGAGAGGTACGAAGGCTTCTTTGCCTGTTCAGGGACATGGAATCGCTGTGCACTGAATGTTCCCACCAGAGGCAGGCATTCGCTGCCATGTCGGCGTGTGGGTGGCTGCTGGCAGCGAGGACTGCCAGTTGCTTGTATCGTCCCTGCTCCGAAACAATGTATGGCGTGCCGGGGGGGAGGTAAACGTGCCACCATGCTGTCAACTGAACGACTACATGGGCAATATCGGGTCTTGTAACTCATTCTCAATAACAGGCCTTTGTAGGCAGTTGCCAGGTTTTTCGGTTGTCATTGGTGCAAGTGGTCAGTCATGCCGAAGTCAGTGCCCGACAGTCTGCTGGGGGGTGTCGTGCCAGCGGCAGTCGATGCAGATGGTGTACAGGACACGGATGTGCACGGGTATCAGCGGCACAGCTTGCAGCAGGCCAGCGGGATTTACTTTTTTTTCCAGCAGCTGCTGGCCATTCAGGGAGGACGGTTCATTTCCCTTAGATGGCCCTTTGCAGTCCGCGGCGAAATCCAAGTCTTGGCATCTGCAAGCATCTGCCAGCATCTGCCAGCTTTGAAAGTTTTCCGGGGAGGCGGAGAGCATCTTAGCGGGGGTGCTTCCTGCCGGTTCCCGGCCTCGGGTCGAGGAGTGGGGTATGCTGCTTCAAATCATGCACATTTCGTGTACCACGTTTTCCGTCATAGGAACTCTCCGAGTTGACATGACCTGTGACTTTTCCTGGTTCTGGGTTCAGTATGACGACGCGATTCAAAAGCACCTGGCGAGTAAAGTCCAGGATGTTTAGCTTCGCTTTGTTTAGCTGCAAGCCTGCCGACCATGCACCGCCGTGAGGACTGGTGGCAAGAGAACGACAGCTTTAAACGAATGTGCACGGCTCCAAGCAATGTCAAGGCCATCTGCAGATTTGCAGTTCAATGACTTCCCGAACCTCTGCGAATGGCGTGCTGGTTCCGCAATGTGCCGGTACTCTGCTGACACACGTCTGCAGGCAGCAGCGAGCTCTCAGTCCCAGAAGCAGAAGGACCGGAAAAGTAGAGGCTAGAGGCACGCTGGCAACATGGTGGTTTTGGTTTGTGGCCGGACTGCGCCAACAAATCATGCCTATAGGTGTGACAAGGGGGCTAGCTGGTGCCGAAAGCGTGCAGCATTGAGCATCATGACTGCAGGATGTTGAAGTGCTGTCTGATCTTCCCGGGCCGCAAATCCTCCGCGCACGAGGCAGTGAAATAAGCTCACGGTGAAAGATTGTCATGACCTGTCTAGAAAGACAAGTGCTCATCAGACATGTCCGGCACCTTGCCCGCGCAGGTTTTTTATCGCCTGAAGAAGCCCGGCACATCATCGCGCTGGCCAAGCCAATGCTGCAGGACAGCTGCTGCCCTTAGCCCTTAACCGCCTTAACATCCTCAAAACCCAGCAGGTTCACCTTAGCTTCTACGTCTCACTGCCCACCGGGCCTTCCGTGGGGTGGGTGATGACAGATTGCGACAGGACGGCGTGGTCTTAGAGTCCGGTCAGCTTGTCCGAGCGAAATATCGGAGAAGTCAGACCGCATGGCTGGAGGATGAGGAAGGGAACAGACATGAGCAAGCGCCTACACTCGCTCAAATCACAAGGCTCAGGTAGATCTTGCCTGAAGGATCCGGTCTTGCAGAACATCTCCCAACGGATTGAAGCCTTCACCGGCTTGTCCCTGCAGTCTGCGGAGCAGTTTCAGGCCAGATCTGAGCCATGTTATGCCGGCATCATGCCATGTTTTTGCCTGTGTTTCCTTCCTTGATCCTGTATGTTTTTGGACAGGTGGCCCACTACACGGCCGAGAATCAGGCAATCCGCGTCCGGCTGCACAATGTTGTCGCTTTCACACTGGTACTTGCGAAGACCTGCTATTATCAGTTGGCATACTGGTTTGCAGGGTCGCTACGAGCCCCACTTCGATTGGGGGAGGGAGGTGGCGGTCATGGACGCCTTCGGAAGCGCAGAGGACACAGGTCCAGAACCCAGTTGAGGAGGGGATGCGGGGTGGTTAAGGCTTCCAAATGCAGTTCACTTTTCCCCTTGAGTGCGCGTTTCGAGAGTGAACGCACGCGGAAGCAGTGAGTCTTGGTGCTTCCGATCAGTCAGTGCTCGTGCAGATCTTGCACTAGATCGGGTACTGCAGGGACGTTGGCTCCAGCAGGGCGTTGTACAGGCAGTGCAAAGTGCAAGCTGTTGAGGATGCTAAGGCTGCTACGGTGCGTCGGCACGCCGCGCGAGTAACCTGCGGTTTGCGGGCGATTCAATGGTCGGAAAAGGTTGGCTGTTGATTTCTTCCTGGCTGCAGACTGATGCTCTGTCGCTGTCTGAAAGGACTGTCCCGATGGACAGCCGTGCGATGCCCCTTCTGGCTCTTGGTCCAGGGAACCTGGCGAAGTCTAAGTTTGCCAGCTATGATAGCTTGCCGGTTTTCTTGCGATCGGGTGGACGCCACGTGGTTGTGAGGAGTAGCAGCGTGCACCAGGAGCTTGAGAAAATCGCCACGCTTGTGGCCGGGGCGCCGCTTGCGTGGTCGGATCTATTCGTATCTGCACAAATCGATCCGGGAGACTTGAGCTATGATGGCACCTTCATGGCAGTGAGCCGGATGCTGCAAGTGCTTGGTGCGCCGCGCATCAACTTGATCCTCGTAAGCTCTGGGCGGTCGACAGCAAGCTCAATGGATCCACCTTGTGCTCACAGTGATTTTGGCTGGGAGCTTTGTGTTAAGAGCAGCCTCGCTGCCGCAGAACACTTGCAGCGCAGCGGCAAAGTTGGAGCCATCGGTGCTCGTGACTGGACTGTCCACTTGCTGCAGAGGTTATGGCCGATGCTACATGCGCCTTTGGCCGCCATGGAGCTCACCTTTGACACGATTGGAAACAGCCATCTCGCAACACTGAATTTCTGTCTCATGAGAGGCATCCAGGCCGGGATGGAAAGCAAAACCGAGGAAGGCATTCGAGCACTCAGTTTTTTCAGGGTGTTGCAGGCTGATGCAGGGTGTCAGGTTGAAGCATCGGGTTGCACGTTGTTGTCGAAATCTGTTTTCGTCATTTCACTTCGAACACTTCTAGTCGCCCAAAAACACAGTCGGAATACAGTAGCACACAGGGCTGCAGCATGTGCCAGCTGCGGGATACAACGAGGTCATCATGACCGGCTTCATAGAGCAGCCCGGTCGCCTGGTTTTGCCAATGTTCCTCGGCAGCGCAACGCACTCGCGTGCATTCGCTGGTCATGCTTCGCAGATCTCAGCCTTTGCCACCATCGGTTGGCTGATGTCCAAAGATGCCGCTGCTGTCATGCCGGGTGATTGGCTTGACTCTGAACGTATTTCAGCCGTAGAGTCGCTTGACGCGGAGCCTCTTGTGGAAGGACACCTGCTGGAATATTTCAATTCTCATTTCTGGCTTGGTCAGAACTCTGCTGTGCACGAGGTGGTCTTTGAACTTGGGGCGGCTTGCCCAACGGAGCTGACGGTCCTAAATGCTGCGGAATGCATGCTAGCCATGCAGGAGTTGGAGAGGCCGGATGGGGTTTCGACAACTGCCGAAGGCGCCCGCGGCTGCTCTTTGTACTTTGGAACTGACTGCTTCTCCCTTGACTGCGCCGTGGCACACTTCCGAGCGGAGGCAGCTGGTGATGATGGTGCCTTGACAAAGGGTCATCCGCGAGCCGTGCCTGTATGCCAGGTCGATGGGTCCAAGCTCCCGCAACAGGGTAGGACGCTGTTCCTGAGCATGTGTATGGGAGTGGAGTACTTCGACAAGTTTTGCGCTCCGTTTCTTGCATCATACCGCATGGTGTACGGAGGCCTCCCGAAGGGCTGGCACGCCATGAGAGTATGGACAGTTGGGGTTGAGGCCTCTCAGCTCCAGCATGCGAAGGATTTGTTCTCCTCAGCAGGGGTGGAGTTTGAAGAAAGCAGCTTTGAAGAGTTGCACCGACGATTTGCAGAGGAGCATGGAAGTTTAGGCGTTGACTACTTGAGCGAGGACATGGGCTCAATGGGCCCATCTGGCATTGACGGGCGTACGGGTTGTTTTGAGTGCCGGGACTCTCACTGCAACTGTGATCCAGGGGTGCACGATGAAAAGGTTGTGTTCAACAACATTTACTTCCTGCAATGGGTCGCTGCCCAGTTTGAGGCAACACGAAACTCAGACTTCCAGTACATGGTCTTCATTGACTCAGACATGCTGTTTGTGCAAGACCTGGGCAGGTTCCTGCCACGAAGCCCAGATAGCACAGACTGGGAATATGCCTTCACGGTATATGATAGGCATCACGAAGTCCCGTGGGGTAGCAACGAGGACGTGGCGAAGACCAGGAATGGATTCGTCCGCATCAACGCCGGAGTTCAGCTGTTCAGGTACACGCGAGGGGTCAGCTTGTATCTGGCAAACCTCTTGAAGATTACACGCATCTTCATGCACTATGGAGAGACGAAGCAGCTTCCTGACGAAACTTGGTTCGTAGAGGAGTTCAAGGGACTCAGTCAGGCCGCCATCGCCTGGTTCATCGGTTCATCGAACCTGCTCTTCGAGGATTGTTTGGTGTGCTCACGGACAATCAGTTTCGACAGCGTGTCAGCTGGCGAGCCGTTCTCCCTAAAGGCCCAAGGCTTGCCTGCCCGGTTTCTGAACCAGGCAGAATCTCTTGGGGACGGTTTAAGCCTAAGTGGAGACACGCACATGGTACATCTCAAAGGACTTTGGTGGCGCGTCCTCATCCTGAATGCAACTGCACATTCCACAGCTACACGCTGTCTTGTTTGGAACGCTGCCGCATACGAGCTCTGGAAATCTCTTTACCTGGCTTGGCGGCCGGAGACTGTGATCCGTACAAGCGTCCATCATGGGGAACACTGCCCAGACCTATCCTTGCTGGCAGCGTTTGCGTAAAGAAAATGCCCCGAACAAATGGACAATGCTGTCGCGCAGCGTGCAAGGCCTTGCAGAGGTTCACGTTCTGCTTCAGGCTGGGCGGCTCAACCCGGAGTTTGTAATGTTACTCTGCCCGGATGTTCCTGGTTTTGAGCGCGTTGCTTTCTGTGCCTGGCTTTGCCATTGTGGCCATGGTGGGGAGTGGCTGGGGGACACGCCAGCTTTTGGGCGCACGTGGTGATGACTCCGATGGAAGAGCAGGGACGACCGCCAGGACCAGCAATGACTGAGATGGCCCACGCAAGATGAGAGGATCTTTTCTCAGACTCATCCCAACAGTGAGTGGAAGCCAGTGAGTGCCGATGTTCGGGAGTTTCGCCGCAGCCATGCTGTGCTGCCTGTTGGACCCCTGACGCGTTGAGTTTTGAACGTTTCTGAAGTCTCGGGAGATGGCCTCCGGCTTCCAGGGGAGCAAAATGGAACAAGGCAAAGGCAATCCATGCAAAAGCATGAAAAAGTGCTGAGGCCAGGGACCCAGACTAGCCACATTTCTGATCTACCTGAATGCTGTGCAAGGCCAGGGGGGGGGCAGTTCGCCAGCACGCCGTCACAGTTCAGCTGCTCTCCAAGTGCAGGTGGTGGCGCAACGACCTTCGTGCAGCAGGACCTCAGCATACAGCCAGAACCAGGCTGCAGCTTCCGGGAGTGCGGAGTGAAGCGCAGAGGACAACGCAAACAGCAACAGCAAGAAACAAGCACCATTTCAAATTCACCTTCCTGTAACTCTTGCGTCTTTGGCCTCTCTGTATTTGTAATTAGGATACTGAGAAGATGGGTTATGTGAGGGTCACAAGGAGATGCCTGTGGCATTCCAGAGTCTTGTCCAAAGCTCCTATATCTGAGTCAACATCGACGGTCGCGGCCCCATGAACCTCATTGTTCAACTCAAACAAGCTGTCCATAGACATGTTGTGGTGTTTTTGTTGAGGAAAAAGGGGGTGGGCTTGTAGTGGTTTTTGATTTTCAGTTTTTCAAGCAGCGCTCGGGCGGAAGTTCTAAATGCTAGCGTTGTCCCTTCAAGTTAAGTCCGAGGTTGATGTTTTTGGGCCTGGTTTTCTTTTCTGAAGGTCTGGGTTTAGGTAAACGCGGAGTCAAGGTTTGAACCCAAGGCAGCAAGGAACCCCAGTAAAAAGTGTTCTGATGCTCTTGCAGGTTCTTCAAGTCGGTCATGATTCCTCACGATTGCAAGCAGGTCTGTTTGAAAGTAAGCTGGGATGTGATTATGCTTGACGCCTAGCCCCGTAGACTAAACCCCACGTGTACTTTGTATCGGTCCGCGAAGGAAGCTCAAGGTATCGAGTCTGTATCGTCCCAAAGACTCAAGGTATCAAGTCTGTCTGGAACCATGTGCTTGTCAAAATGGTTACTGATGGTCATAACTGTCCGCCATGTGTTAAGTTGCGGATGTATGCTTGTGGATACTGATCCTGCACGCGAAGCCGTACGCAGTCCTGCTTTTCTACTGCATCTTTTTGGGGTGCAATTCCGGAGTTGTGCTTCAACAACGATGTCGCTTGAAATCTCTTGCTGGCTCCGAAAAAAGCCCGTGGCTGCTGAAGCGACATCGTTTATTGGGGTGCAATTCCGAAACCTGTGCCTCACAAACGGCATCGTTTTAAATCTCTTGTCCCCCCACCAGAAGACCAGAAGTCAATCTGGAGTGTCCCCCCACCAGAAGACCAGAAGTTCATCTGGAGTATTTTGTTTTTGTTTGATCTGTTCTTGTTGTGGCTTGAGTGTCCTCTTGCAGCTTCCAGCCAGAAACCATAGCAGTGCTTTGTAAGCATGTGCGAGCATCTGAAATCAACTATATTTACAGAGGACGTGACATGTGGTAGTACCATTGACGCATGTGCGAGGTGCTGCAGTTTTCTGGTACAATCTCCGTCCGCGCGGCGAGGGTGATGAGCTTGTTCGTCATGGCGCTTGCCCTGTCACAGAGGGTGAAAAACTCATTGTTACGCGGTGGAGCTTTGGTTGCATTGGCTTGCTGCTGGGCCATGCGATGTCAGCTGCAGGGTCATCTTGGAAGTTGCACAGGCCTTTGTGCCAACTGTTAGTCTGAGAATGGCCCGCAACTGCGAAGAGGTCTCGATAAGCACGTAAGCTTTGATGGGGGGGGTTTTGTCTCAATAGTGCCACTGACACCACATAAGATCACCCTCAAGTCCAGAGTGCTTTGCACCGAGGATCCATGCAGCCGGCAATGCGCACGTCTTTGATGCATCTAGCGGCATGCCCAGGAGCTCTTCGCATCGGATCTGTAGTTGAGAGCTTTGACTGGGCTTTGGGATCATGGCAAAGCCTTCCTGCTGAAGACTTTCGATCGAGGATTTCGCGTTCATCGGAGTCGCAGCCAGCATCTCAGATATCATCAGATATCAGATTTTTGCATGGACGGGCTCGTGAGCTGCTGAGCGGAGCAGGATATCGCACTGCAGAATGGGTTGGTGAATGCACTCTCTGAAACCCGCTCGCATCTTCTCACACGCCAGCCTGTAGTTTGCTTTCTGTAGCTCCAGCCTCACCGGCGTGTGTAGAGAATTTTCGCCGCTGAGACTCATGGCGCTAGAGGACATGGCACCGACTCTTGAGGAGCTGGCGCTCACTACCGTTGATGGCCATCAATGCATGCCGGGCGTAGAGACCAACCTCGGTGAGCTGTTGACTACCGCTGCTTTGGCAAAGCCCGACAGCGTGTGCTTGGAGACGCAGGATGGATGCTTCACCTTCTTGCAGGCTCGGGTTCAGGGCCTGTTCAGGACCTTCCGGAGATGTGCTTCGTCTGCTATGTGCCTATGCAGTGCAGTGCTTGTGAGGTGGCCCAGATGACGGATGCCATCCGCAAGGTCTTACGAAAAGCCTTGCAAAGCCTGGAGCTACCGACCCAGACAGACCCGAACTCACCGGACGCACACAGGCGGCGTGCTGACGAGCACGTGGTGTGGGGCTTAGTGGGAGATGTAAGTCATGCAAGAGTCTTCAGAGCTCTAAAAGCCCTAAACGTCCGAAATGCTCTGAAGACTCTGACTCTGAACCTGCAGGCCATCGCTCATGATTAGCTTCCATAGACATGCGCAGACATGCACAAGCTGCGTACTCGATGCGCCCGCGATTCTACCATGTTCCCCGAGGTCACCATCGTACTTGAGCGAGGGATTCAGAGCATCGCGGCGGTGCACGCCGTCATGCTGGAGGGCTGTGCCTACAATGCCTTCGACATCGGTGAGCCCGCGGAGACCCCAGCAATGCAGAAGACACAGGGAACCCGAACCCTATTGCAGCAGTTTGTTGGATGCCAGGCGGCGACAGTAGGGGGAGCATTTTTGCAGTTGTAAGTTGACAGGCTGCGTGTGCTGAGGTCGAGAAGCTCCGAAGCTGGGTCGAGGTGTCGCAGCCGCCTCTCATGATTTCCTCCAACGCCGTCCTGCGGCGATTGAACATCACCGATGTGGCAGCAACGCTTGGCGAGTTTCCTCGGATGGTGCTGGATGTGGATCTGGCCCTTAGCAAGGCCAGCAGCACGGCGCTCCCGCTGCGACCAGCCCATGCGCCAGAAGACCACGACAGGCCCAGGAAAGGGAGATGGGGCAGGGGTTGCAGATGTTGCAGATGGGGTAGAACGGGTAGGATGGGGTAGGATGGGGCAGATGTGGCAGATGACGGTGATGGGATGTGGTGGGGAGTCCATGCTGCATCATGCTGCCATCTCCTGTGAAATCACTAACCTGCATCAGGCTGGCGTATCTCATCTTCACCAGCGGCTCCACGGGAAAACCAAAGGCAGTCATGATCCGACACAAGTCCGCGCTGAACGTCGTCCGCATCTGGGGCCGGTACGTGGGCCTGACTGCCGGCGATCGGTTCGCGCAGGTTGCCTCGATGTCTTGGGATGTCCACGTCATCGAGGCCTTGGAAAAGCAAAAGCTGCATCCCCAACATTCCCCAACACGCCCCAACGGTCTGGACATAAAGTTCCTAAAGCCATGAAACCCCAAACGCCCAAACGCCGCACCTTGGTGAATCTTCTGGCAACCCTGGACATCTCCAGGTGTACGGGACCATGGCCGCCCGAGCTACCAGCGTGACGTGCCCCGACATGACGCCCGACAGAAGAGTTTGAGGATGCAGGTAGGATGTGCATGTATGCGAGTGTCACGCGATCACGAGATGAGTGGCAGTGCAAGAGCCCACCTTCCAAGGATAAAGAAGTCGGGGCCGGACATGCAGGTATGGCTGAAGGAGAAGCACATCTCCGGAATGAGCGTCGTTCCTTCGCACTTGCGGACCATGTCGGGTGGAGGAGCTCCACTTCATATGAGCTCATCTACCCTCAGGTCCTCATCTAATGCGACCTTCTGCAACGCTGTGAGGTGCACATGGTAGCACATGCCCTCGCGCATAGGCCCCAGGGTACTGCCAACAAGGTTTCAGAACATCTAAGATGACCTCAGATCTCATCCAAGCATGCCAATGCTGGGGGCCTAGCAGATGCTCCCCGCTTCCAGGAGCCGATGTGTCGCGAACACCGGCGGGGCTGCCTCACCTCCGCATCCTCGACGTGGGGGGTGAGGCCCTGGGCGCAGATGTTGTGGATACCTGGGCTCCAGGCCAGGTCGCCCCGCGACAACGTGAATGAACGGTGTTGTGCTCAAGCTTTTGGTTTGGTGGTTAAAGCATGATAAAACATAGAACGTGAGACCAGGTCGCCGACTCTTCAACAGCTACGGGCCCTCGGAGATCTCCGTGGTCTGCACCGGCGGCTACGTGCAAAGCGGTGATGCCATCACCATAGGCGCCCAATTGCCGACGTACGACTGCTACATCTTGGACCCGGACACCATGGAGGCCCAGCGCCAGCGAGCACTGAGCAGAGAGCGCCTGCCCTTGCTCTGGCCCCTGCCCTTGCTCTGCCTTCTGCAGAGATGCGATTTCGTTCTGTTGCAGGCTAGGCCTGGTCTCTTTGTGAAACCAGGTGAAGGCTGACGGCGAGCGAGGCGTCCTCTTCGTAGGGGGCATTGGCCTGGCACGAGGATACCTGGAAGAGGAAGAGAAAACGAAGCAGAAGTTCCTTGAGCTGCCCGGTCTCGGCCGTGCCCCTCGTCCTCTGTGCACTGGGTTTTTTTGGGTACAGCTTCGCTTTGGCACAGCCTGCGTCATCTGATTTCGTGATTTTGCAGCTGAGGTCTACAACACCGGTGACTTGGCCTCGCGTGCTGCGGATGGCCGCATCCACTACCACGGCCGGGTGGACTGGCAGGTCAAGGTGCGCGGCATCCGCATTGAGCTGGAAGCCCTGGAACAGGCCCGGAGCTGCTTCTCCAGGGAAGTTTAGCTTAGCCACAGCTCCTTGGGTGTTTGGAGTGGAAGGGGGCGTCTCACTTTGATCCCAAGTGGCAGGCGGTAGGCTGTCACTGGACGTGCGTGCACTGTCGGTAGTAGTTTCCCCCCCATCAAACCGGGTCCACGAATCTGATCTTGGCCAGCCCAAAGTTCGGGGAGGGCTTCCTGGGCTGGATCGCATCCTCCAGTAAATGTGTTCAGCAGCAGGGACTTCCAATGGGGTCATGGCCCTGCGGATGCCCATCCAGAAAGCCCATGGAAGCCTTGCCTGCCAGGCAGTCACAGAGCTTCCCACAGTGAAGCACTGTGAGGCCCGCGTCTTGGACGGTGGACAGCGACTGGCCTGGTCCTCGGCGCTGGAGATGGGCCCTGCGCAACAGATGAATCGCGTAGCGAGATGTTAGAGAGGAACTTGAGATGTTTTGAGTTTTTTTTTGCTGTCTGAGGTTCTGCTCGCCTCGGGTGCACCGGAGCTTTCGGAAGCAGAGCTGAAGTCCACAGCCGCTGCCTTGGGCCGCGGGTACGTCCTCAGCCAGGCAGAGCCCGTGCCTGTGCGGGGCGGGGATCACGGGGAGGGCATCATGGGGGTACGTGGGCCAGGTGAAGATTGTGGAGAACGATGCCTGGAAGTTCAACACATCCGGAAAGCTCCTGCGCAACGCCGTACCGTTGGATGAAGCTGCTGCCGAGGATGCCCCGAAGAAAGATGCCTGGGAGACCTTTGTGAAGGAGGGCACCAGTGAGCTTGAGCGGGACATCGCAGCTTGCTTGGCGCCCCAGCTGAGCCTGGTTGATCCCTGGGATTGCAACTCGCACTTCATGGAGGATTTGGGTGTGGACTCTGGCGGCTTTGGGCGCCTGATCTCCCAGATGCGGTCACGTCCAACGCTTCAGCGTGTTGATCTGCAGATGCTGTTCCAGCACCCGACGGTGCGCTCGCTGGCCACGGCGCTGCAAAGCACTTTGAGTGAGGACTCCGACTCGGAGAGCGTCGACGGGTGCGGGTGCGGTGACGCGAGTCTCCTGGACGCCTTCATGGCCCGCCTGGAAGAGGCTCCTCATGCAGTCTGCGTGGAGTGTGGCTGCCAAGGCACCAGCTACCACCAACTCTTCAGGTTGGCATGCTCCTATCAGCGGCTCCTGCATCAAGAGCTGAAGCAGAAGCGCCAGGAGCAGGCGGAGCCGTGTGTGGCCATCTGCCTGGATCTGCCTGAGAGGGTTGCGGCCATGATTGCCGTGGTCAGGGAGGGATGTGCCTTCTGCGTCTTGGACCCGCGAAGCGGCGACGCGTCCATGCTCGAGCAGCTCCGCCTTTCCAAGCCCCATGCGCTTTTAGCCAACAGGGCCGAGACGAGCTGGACGTGCCTGGAGCGGTGCTGCAAACTGGCTTCCGACGTGGCGGGGCCAGCATGCAGTGATTATATAACCATGCTCAACATAAGTCTTTCTCATGCAGCATGCACCACCTCAACAAGCAAAGTGAATTGGATCAGTGTTCTTTTAACGTGCGTTTGCTCTTTTGATCAGTCGCCCTGTCGTGTGTGGCTCAGGTGGCGTGTGCCCTTGTGGATGTCAGCTCCACCTCCCCTCAGCCGGCGCCGAAGCAACGACGGCGTCGGGGCTCGCAGACATGCGTCGCCTTTGCGGAAGCCGGTACCTTGACGGGAGGAATACTGGAACACTGTACGAGGAAAGGGGGGGGGGGGGAAGGCAGAGAGCGGAGAGCTCTTGGGTCGTGGTTTGTTTTAGATGATGTTGCTGTAGATGTCCGGCCCATCGCCTCGAGCACGTCAGCTGAGGCGGGTTGCAGATGCTGCCGACGTCAGAGGCCTCGCTGAAGCAGGCAGCTGCGGCATGGCAGCAGCAGTTGCATCTGGATCCCACAAGCCGCGTGCTATCCTGCCTGAAGCCTGGCAGCGTTGCTGGCTTGTCCGCGGTCTGGAGCTCCCTGGCGGCTGGCTCCACGCTTATTGCTCCTGGCGAGCGCGACCAGCTGTTGCAGAAGCTGTGCA